CATGCAAAAATCAAAGAGAGATGCTGAGAAATTTTCACAAACGCAAACACACCGATGATGATGATGATGATGGTGATGCCAAAGCTAAACAAGCACACAACTTGATGCAGTCTCTTGGAAAATGCAACAGCAGCATTTGGTATGGTGATATGGGTACTGTGCACGCATCATCATTGTCGTTGGCCGTGTGAATGTTTTGGATTTGCTGCTGGATGTATTTTATATACAAAATCTGCCATATAAATATATATATACAGAAATACAGATCTTGTTTATAAGGTTTTTTTTTATTTAAGTTGGAGTTGATAATATTTTTTTTCGCGAGCAAAAGAGCGCACTAATGGGCACGCACAAAAAGAGAAATCCAACTTAGCCTCATTGCACAGCAAACTTCCTCTTTCGGACCGAAAATGGCAAGAAATTTCTTATTCATTTGAATGATTTATGAAACGGAGTGCAAAACAAAATTAAATTGTGCACACACACATACATCGTACGTCGGATGCTTTAGATGGAATGCATTTTGCTCTGATTACGTGTCTAATGAATCACCTTTGAAATATATTAACTCCCCTCATGCAGATGGATATTGTGTGCAAGCAAATGCACCGGAATCATGATGTTTTTTCTTCTTTTTTCTCATCTGTGCAGCGTGAAAAATTTTAATAGCGCGTCGGTGTCCAAAACTAACATATTTGGTGTTTGTGGTATTACACACATGAAGCCACAATCATCTAGCAGCCTCACACACACCGATTTTCAGATTAGATTTCAGATGTCTAGCCATACGGCAAACAAAAATATCCACACACACACCACACCGGGGGAAAAACAGCATCTACACAAAGCAATCGGCGAGAAAAAGTAAAAAAAATGTAAACACAATGGCAGAGCGCGGCAAAGACGAACAACAAAAAAAAACAGACAAAAAAAATAATGTAAGATCAGGGAAAAAAATCGCATATGTATGAAATTCAACCGTCATCTATATCAAATTTAGAAAAATTAACAAGAGAGACCGACCGTGTTACAAACGAGAGAAATCAAGGAAAGTATTGCAGCCGACGCTTTTCTTTCACCATCGGCACACTTCGATCGAACAGACTATGTAATTTCACAGCCATAAAAGAATAGAAATTAATAGAATGAAAAATGTGTGTGTGTGAGAGAGAAATCAGATTTGGCATGCGGAGGCAATAGCATACCTTTCCTTCGGCAACAGCAGCCAAATCAATTTAAGCAATCAACTTCCTCTACCGCACGTTCCAATAATACCCGATACCATTTCACTTTAATTTCGTTTTCTAATGGCATTTTTCTTTCACTCCTCCAAGTGAATTTGCAGCACCGGCACATTTGGTGAAATAAGACGAAGAGAAGAAGAAAAAAACAACATACCTAAACGACATTAAAACCAAATGCACAATACAATGATGAAGACGAAACAAAAAACAGCTCGGAAAAAATTCTGTTCCGCGGTGTGTTTGAGAGAGTGCGCGTGAAAAAAAAACCATATGGATTCAATCGAGAGAGAGTATGTGTGTTTTTATTGTATTGTTATTGTGTGTGCAAAATTACATTTAATTTTTTACTTTCCTTTTCAAGCACATTCATTTAGATGATATGCGAGATATCTAAACTATGGTTTTTTTTTCTTCTTTTTTTTTTTTTAACTTAACACATTTACCACGAGAAATGATGGCGATGGCAACCGCCGTGACAGTGTATGCCATCGAACAGTTATCGCCTCTCCTCGAAGCCAACGCTGTATTGTTTGCTCGTAAACAGATGGTATATCCGGCATCTTATCTTTTTATTAGCGTAAAAAAAACGCAACAGCGGTAGTTGATCGCAAACTATTTTTATTCATCCACCGAAAAAAAGGAAAGCAGAAAAAAACGACACACGGATAGAAACGGAGAAATCAACTGCTAGATGATGACGAAGAAGAACAAGACGGAGAAGAAGAAGGAAGAGAGAAAAATCTGACAACATCACCTACGTATGGTTTATTGTGCAGAATAAGGCACTTTTAAACGCCACCACCACCATCAATAATACATCAGTTGAAGGATCTCTTATTGTAACAAATATTAGGCGCGATATCACAGTAGCAACGCAGAAACAGGCACATCGAATACACACTCACACTGGCGTAGAAAGAGAGAATAGAAAAATAACAACAACAATTCAATTTGGAATTGCTCTTGAGATTCCTTTTTGCTCGCATTTTTCGTATTGGTTTTGTTTTCATAGGTAAATGTGTTTGCCCGTGTGCATTGTATGTTGACGCATGCACCACATACCCACTGATCACACGGCACACGTATCGAAACATACAATCGAATAGAGAAGAGCAATAACATCAGATGTGGAACAAAAAACGCACATATCAACTTCATATGCTTCACTCTCGATTAAGGGAAATCAATCGATGGCACACGCTACTTTCCCTTTGAGCCACATCAACAACAACAATAGCACACAACAACTACCAATTACTGCATTTTTTACGTATGCTCGACGTTTTTTTTTCTTCTTCTGTTGTATTCATATATATCCACAATCGTTTTGTGGGCTGTTGTTTTATTTTCGTCACATTGCCTATTGCACGCTCCTCATAACTTCTTTTCTTCATTCTAAAACCATTTCATTTTTTTATGATTTCACTCCTCCTCTCTCTCTCTCTGTCAATTTCATTTTCAAACCAATCATTTTTTTCAGCTCATTTTTTTTCATATCGATCTTTTTTTCATATCGATTTTTTTTGCGTGCTATCAATGTGGCACACCAAAAAAATGCCAGAAGTTAAGTGAAACCGAAAGAATGGAAAAGAAACAACAACAAAAAAAACAGAAGTCGAAGTAAAAGTGAAAAATAGGAAATATGTGAATACACCAACAACAAAAAAACGCTAGAAAACAACAGTAATTCTATTTAAATAGGATCGACCAAATTTGGTTGCTTCCTTTTTGTTTCGTATACCTCATGATTGTGTAATAATGCTGAGTTTTTTTTTTGTCTCACTTTTATTACCTATTGTCAGGAGCTACAAAAAATGTACACCAAAAAAACATATTGTGGTATTTTATTAAATATCGAATAAACCAGAATTTAAAAAAATTAATAGGCAAAAAATCATCGATGAAAATTAAATGTTTGTTTTTATTTAAAATTATTGAAATGCATATTTATTGACATTTATTCACCATTTATCTGTTGTTTGAATGCACATATGTATGCAGAAAAAATCCTCTTCCGACCACACAAATGGACTGCGACAACAAACGCCAGACAAAATTCGGTTAGGTTACAGTTAGTTGACGTCCGCATTTGATATTGATTCATTCATGTTCGAAAATGCATCAAAACCGTTGATTTGAAAATGGGCATTTTTTCTGCATGAAGCATCACATTTGCTTGGATCAAATGAGTCAATCTCATATCATTATTAACATATTTCATGCAGAATTGGAGTAAAACGGAATTGAAGTAAATACATGACTCATTAATCATGAAAGTAAAGTGTGATAATTTCACGTTTTCACCGATCGACAACATGGTAGCTCTGCATAAATTCATCAATAAAATCATCCGTTTTTCATAAAATGCGCTTGGGTGAAATTTTTAACGTTTTTACTCTTTTTTGGACCGGTCTTTGCTACAATTATTCCATCGATTATTTTTTTTCCGTCGTAAATTGTCAATGAATATTAGTCATGTATCGAACATTCTATAAAAAGTGTTAGTACATAAAGAGTTCGACACCCGACCCAATTAAAATATTTTATCAATTTTTTGCGATACAAAACAGCAATGTATGACTCATCGTGTCGTTTGTTTTGTTATACATTTCAATTTAGCAAGTATAAAACGGCTTTTTACATCAGTAAAAAATAACATTTATGAGAGAAAAACAAATGGTTTGGATTTTGTCAATTGGATTATAATATTGATACAGTTTGATTTGCCTAATATGCTCGCTCATGCATCACAATGTGTGTCACTTTTTTATGCCCAAACATGACGGATAATAATGAAGTCTTTAAAATTGGCTATCCAAACGTACAAGCGATGATAACATTTTCGTGATGTGGAAAATGAATACTCACACTGAGTTGCAAAAACAAATGTTCGTGTTAACAAACGTTGTGATAAAATTCTTTCTGAATTCCTCAGACTGACTAAAATTTTATGAAAATTTAAGGAATTTATATCATGAGATGTAAATTATAATTGCTAACAGCACTTTTTTTAGAGCAATGAAATCAAAATGACAATATTTTATCTCTAATATTTCTGAACGATTTCTGATAAGAAACTTAAGTTTATGGAAAACAATTTGAAATAAAAAAAAAAAACAGAACTCTTCACCAAATGCGCACCGCAACGAGAACAAGTGTAAAGAAATTACTAAATAAGCTTTCGCTTTGAAAATTTACATGAACTTGAACTCTGCATTTCAATTTACTCTTAGCAAATTACAAAACCCGACTTTAGCACAAACAATTTCGTTCGAGAAAAGATCTTGATCGAGTGTGGGCATTAATGTGGGCATTCCTACTCTAAAGTGTATAAAATTCTTCTATTTGCCACCAGATGGCGCTGGATACCGTTTGTATCTTTTGGTTCATTGAGAACGGTTTTCATTATTACTTTCAATGAGTGATACAAAAATGCATTATTTATATTAAAGTGGTTGCATTCGTCAATATTTATTAGACCATATGCACCCTCGTATGCATTCGTATGCAGAAACAATTGTCATTTGAATGCATAAACAACTATATTAGGGGAAGTATTGGTCGCAACCGGCATTGGTGCGCAGGTCAATGAAATTCCATACATTTTATGTTATCGTACATATATATCTTTTGTATGGCAAGCTGTTTACTCTCGTCAATACATCAGTTTATACTCAGCTGTGTATCGATGCGTTTGTATTTTCTAACAACGGTAAATCGTTGATTTTCTCATTTATAAACAAAATATTATAAACATAAATGTCCAATAAAACAAAAACATAAAATCGAGAAATGGAATAGTGTAATATTTGATTGTCTTCATTTTAAGTGTTTCAATCGATTTATTCAAACTCATCTTTCTTAATCACCTTTAGTGTTATTTGTGTATTGTGTTGTATGCTGTTTATATTTTTGGTACTCTGTGTTCATGTGACGCTTCGATAAAATTCGATAGACTTTGTGTGTTTGGATGGGGGAGTACTTAAAGTTGCAGAACCATTTTCTCATTTTCTCAAATGCATAAAAGTGAATGCGTTCGGTAGGAGGGTTCGTTGCAAATAAGCATTGCTGATTAAAGAAACCCCTGTGCTCTCTCGCATAGACTCATAAAAATGAACGCATGCAACAATATGGGCTTCGTTATTTTGGTTGCGCTTCGTTGACAACGACATATACTACATGAAATGTTTGGAATGTTTCATTATACCTTTTAGCAAGCAATAAAACGGAATACATCTAGGAATACATTCGTTCAATAATGCACGCAAAATTGCGTTCGGTTAGTTGTGGTAAAATGCTGCAATGCTGACAAAAAGTTCACAGTCGTAATAAACATTTTGTGTGGGTTGAACGCAAATAAAAAGCGTGTATGTATTGTATTGAAAATTCCATATAAAATAATTCCGAATATTTCTTCCTGCGCCAAAAACAAAGAACGAAGTTCGAAATTGAATTTTGCCTCAAAGCAATAATATTAGCAGTCGAGTCAATCAGAGCAAAAAGCAAATTAACGAAAGTGAAATTGGTGAGTGGTTGTTAGTGACAGCAGGTGAAGGGTGTGTTGAATACATAATGGAGGAGGAATTACGGTGTCCGTTTTGTAAAGAACTCTATGTAAATCCAGTGCTATTGCCGTGTTACCATGGATTATGTTTAACGTGTGCACTAGACACACAAGTACAAATTGTAAACAATGGCAGTAACAAAAATAATTCAACAGCATCCACATCACAAGTTTATCAAGTGCCCGTCGGTAATCATCAAGCTCAACAATGTCAAAATCAAACGTCGTCGTTATCTCGCAAAAACTCGGGCGAAAGTTCGGCCAATTCGAGCACATCGGAGAGTATGTCATCCGATCAAGAAGGTGATAAAGTTAGTATTTTAAGTGAAGCTGATTCGGGTGTCATTTGCAATACATCACGCCCCAATTCATATGCTGGAACGTTGAATTTGCAAGCATTGTGTCCGCCGTCTGGTGGTGCCGTCTATTCATTATCGTGTCCCGTATGCCGTAAAATTGTGTTCTTTGATGATGGTGGCGCACGTAACCTACCCAGGTACCGTACAATGGAAACAATAATCGATCGATTTTGTGAGCGCGAGGCATTGCGATGTCAAATGTGTGCAATTGATCCGAAAACAGCGACAGTTATATGTGAACAGTGTGAAATTCGGTATTGTGATAGTTGCCGTGATCTGTGTCATCCAGCTCGTGGACCATTGGCGAAACACACATTGATTGTACCGCGCGGCGGTGGTGTTGCAACAACAACAACCCGAAAATTAGTTTGCATCGAACACTGCACAGAACCATTGACCGTATTTTGTTTAACGTGTAAAAGTGCATTGTGCCAACGATGCCTGTGTGATAGTCGTCATCAATGCCATGAAATTCAATCAATCGCCACTATTTGTAAATCACAAAAGGTATTGTTTCCCCTCGTTTTTTCTTTAGAAAATCATAAATCACCTTTTCACCCTAATACTACTGTCGAAAAATCCAAAACATCAACTTTACCATCAAAATGAGAAAATTGATTCGAATTTCCGAGGAATGAAAATAGATAGACACCGACACCTTGAGTCGTATTTAAAATACCAGGATTTCATTACAGAGAACTATTAATACAAGAAATTTCTTATTAACAAAGATGATTTTTCCGTTTAATAATTGTTCGTTAGTAGATTGGATTTTTCTTCCTTTTTTTGATTACTGAATTTTATTGGTATTTTTTTACAAAAATTTCACGCAAATAGTAGTTATTCACGGAATTTTATAAATTGTCTTACTTTCATTCCGAATTCTATGCGAATTGATCGAATTCACGCATTTTTTCAGACAATCCTTTCAAATATGTTCGCATAAAAGTTGCAAAATATCGTATAAATTGTGACGTTTTGCTCGAAATTCGATCCTAGAGCTGCAATTGGTGAATAAATGACTGATTTTTGAGGAAAGAACAAAAATTGCATGAAAATCAAAAACTTGAAAGAACAAAAACAAGACAAATAGCCGATATAATTTCTGTTCAATGACCCCAGAGCATATAAAACGAGTACGATAGCATTTGCTTCATAATGCAAAGTAAATCTTCCAAAATAGAACGATGTGTTAGAGTTGAACGATAAAACTCATAAAATTACATGAACAAATCGCTTTAATTCAATTAAACTTTAAATCAAATCTTAAACTCAACAATTGTAAATGTTCGAGTGAATAAATACCGTCATTGTTCCCCTATCTCACACTTTCAATAGCAATAGTCATACAAATACTCAAGTAATTGTAATTGAAAACGTCCAAATTCGTTTTGAGTGCACAAAACTGGCTCTGTTTCATAGGGTTCAGCCCAGTTTAAATTCGAGAAAAGAATAAAATGTTTCACGCAACATTCAACATTGTAGGAGAATGAAAGTGTCTTGAATAAATCTTAAATCGCCTTTCTTCTATTACTGAATACGTTTATCTCTGGAAGCCTGTCCCATAAATTGTATATACAATCGATAATAATACTGTAAATAGGGAGCCATTGAATAATTTTATTATGTGTTGTTCAGCGCTTGTGCCAGCAATGATATAACTCATAATAGGCGATAAACTCTTATCGATGAAGAAACAGACAGACAATACGGTTTACATTATGTGAATAGTCAGCGATTCATTTCACTCGGCTTACTTTGTATATTGGTTCGGTTAATTCAACATCGCGCTGACAGATGCTTTTATTGAACGGATTTTAAATTATCATGACATGAGCACGATGAAAATTTTGCATGAAATTACATTACATTAAGCAATATTGACAGTTAATGATATGATTTAAATATATATTATTCAAGCAAATAAAATGGAACGCATGAATAAGATTAATTTTGATGCATATATTTTTCTTCGCTAAACAGACGGAACTCTCGCAAAACTTGCAGCAATTGTCGGAGAAAGCCAGATCTACAACGGAATTTATCCAAAGACTGAAGGGAATGAGTGATAAAGTGACGGTAAATGTTACTCTGCGTCTCTGAGGAGGTGGAATCGTGACAAGGAGGCGCTCTTTTCCTCCTTGTTTTCCGCTCCCCAGACGAACAGTTTCTATACCTTTATTTCATTTGCCCTTGATTTAACAAAAAATCTCCATGCTTTAATTATTGTTTAATGTAAATAAATCCATTATTGGTTGCACGATAACTAAATGTGATGAAATAATTCAATTATCAGGAGTCGTGTAATGATTTTGAGCAAATGGTACTAATGCAATGCGAGTCGTTGATACAAATGATGCAAGAGCGCCGTGATTACCTATTGGAAACAATTGAAATGGACAAAGAGCATAAATTACGTGTACTAAAGGTACGTGTGCAAAAACACATACATTTTAAGCATTTACATCGATAAAATTTCAAATTTTCAATGCCCACAGGAGCAGCAAATGAATTGTGCGGCTAAATTAACGCAAACCACTGCTTTAATTCAATTCTGTATCGAAGCACTCAAAGAGACGGATAATGCAGCTTTTCTGCAGGTACTGACCAATATCAAATCGCATGAAATGCGGCCCATTTCACAAATCGTTGCCTATAAATTGTATGGAATTAGAAATTAATTTGGATTTGCGTGTTTTTGTGTGTGCGTAGGTTGGTTCCGCTCTAATAAATCGTGTTGTGGACACCGATGAGAGGTGGCATCAAATGGCAGCGCCACGTGTTACTCCCATTATTGATCTACAGCTAGACGATTTCACCGTAAAACGAGCAATTGACAATTTAAATTTCACTCAAATCAAATGTAAGTACAGACACCGCAGTTGTGTAGTTGTGTTACCTTGGTCAGTATTTCGATTAAAAACAATTTAATTAATTTGTTTCTGTTTTATTTAAATCAGCTGGCCGAGATTGTAATGAGCGCATACAAACAGGTAATTATTATCTAATCGTTTGCTTAAACGCTTCATCTCCATTTTATTTACAATTCATTTCATTTGCATTTTCATCAGAAAATGTTTTCATCGCTTTTTCTTTTTTAATAATTGCGAATCTGAGCTAATCGAGTTTGTTTCTGATTTGTTTCATTTAGTCCCGTCGATACCAGCGATAATTCACGAGGAATGTTCGACCGTAAATAATTCGGTGACGGTGGCTTGGAAGGCATCAAATCAGATATCAATTGATGGATACGTACTTGAAATGGATGACGGCAACGGCGGAGAATTTCGGGTTTGTTTCGAATGCATTTTTAATATGTTTTTTTGTTTCTTTGAACATTTCTGATTTTTCGACACGAATAGGAAGTGTATTGCGGAAAGGAAACTATTTGTACAGTCGATGGTTTACATTTCGATTCGATGTATAATGCACGCATTAAGGCATTCAATAAATTCTATGAGGGAGAATATTCAGATACGATTGGATTGCACACGGCAGAAGGTAAGTTGCATTGAAACAACAGAATGTGGTTCAAAAATTTATTTTTTTTTTTTCATTTTGAAACAGTCGCATGGTTCACATTCGATCCGGCATTGAGCAATGCAAACAAAAATGGTTTATCAATTTCAAATGGGCTAACGACGGTTTCAGCAAATGGATGGGATCACAGTGTTGCGTTAGGTTCAGTTGGTTTCTCGCGCGGCATTCACTATTGGGAGTTTACCATTGATAAATATGCATCTGATACTGATCCAGCCTTTGGAGTGGCAAGAGTCGATGTGGCAACCGACCGTATGCTTGGTGAGTTTGATGAAATTATTTACACTTTTCCTTTTTTTAATTGGCATGTCTTTTTATACACTTTTCGATAAAAAACGATTTCTTTCGAAAATCGCAGGCAAAGATGACAAAGGTTTTGCCATGTATATTGATCACAAACGGTCTTGGTTTCAACACAATTCGATACATGAACGTCGTATTGAGGGTGGAATCGCAAATGGTAGCACAGTTGGAATTCTATTGGACCTAACTCGACATACACTGAGCTTCCTTGTGAACGGCATGCCACAAGGTTCAACGGCATTCCGTGATTTATATGGAGTATTTTATCCAGCTGTCAGCCTAAATCGCGGAACAACAGTTACATTGCACAGTGGCATATCGGCACCACACATGGATTATTTACACTGAACAACACGTTTGTGTATACAAATTCAAAACGATTGATAATGAAAATTGAAAGATATTGAACAAATAAAACCATGCGTTTAGACTAAATAAAAAGCAAGCGAATGAACTCAAAACGATTGTTATACTAACTGAACAGATATTCGATACTTTTTCGGACAAAGTCGAAATTGAAGCAAAAAATTAGAAGGGTGAATGAATTCACACACTTTGCTCACTCTCTCTGTTTTCACTGCAAGTGTAATAAGAAATTATATTGTTTTACACTCTCTTCATAACTCATAATTCAATTATTGAGTCAATGATTTTAAATTACTGATAAAAAAGCAGTAGCGAACGGCAAACAATTATATCTTGTTTAAGCATTTGTTGACTTCTGTCGGTTGAAAGTGAAAATCAATTCAAGTTGTGGATGACTAATATATGACGAGCCTTTGTCATACGTCATTTAATTGATTCGATTCATTTGGACACATTGCTTGACATCAATAATTGGAAATCATTACTATTGAATGATTTAAATTAAGTTCGGCTACAAGATTCTAGACAGAATTAACTAATAAAAACATTTATAAAGAAACGATTCGAATTATATAATTTTTGTTGTACAGCATCTAGAAATAATACATAAAATTTAAACTTTATGAAGTAAAAAAACGATTTACGCACAAAATGTAGAAATGCCATTTTTCAGAATTCAATAACGTTTGGTAATAAAAAAATGATTGAATTGAAGCAGCCACCTTCGAAAAAAAGTAATGATCAATAAAATTAATCCTTAGAATATAACGATTTTTGTCTTCAGAATCATCAATTTGAGTATTAGTTTCGAATGAAATGTTTAATTTAAATTCTTAGTATAGTCCAGAATCCTGGAAATGATTTACAATAGTTTATTATTAAGAGAGAGATTGTCGAAACAAAACAAAACAATAGAATAAATTAAATTCGATGCAGCATCTTAATCAACAAAACAATCTTTTGCACAATTCATTTTCCAATGGAATTTCATCCGCATCATCCATGTAAACAAATTGATTTATTTCAAATATTAAGTGTCACAAGTGGAATTTTACACCAGTTCATTTGTCAAATGAAAATACCATGTCTATAACTGTCACAATTGATATCGTCATCAATTTGTTTATATGTAATTTATCATTTCATCATAATATTCGGTACAATAAAATCATGCAAAAATATAATATTTTACTCAATCAAACCGAACAGCATATTTTCGACAAAGAAACGCACATTTCGAGAGAAATATGATATCTTATCATTGTGAAATGAATCACGCACAAAACCAAATACCAATTTAGATGTTTAGAATAGATATATTTAGATAATTTATATTAGCCTAAGATACCGACATTTTCATATCGCAAAGTAGATTTAGGCAACGATAAAAATAAATTAAAGTCATTTTTGATGATCAAAACTGAAGTGAATTCGGAGTATTTATTTATGTGAATTTCTATCTAGAGCGTTATGAGTCGGATGAAGCAAGTTGAATCTGGAAATGGTTTTGCGTAAGTATAAATAAGAGTTCTCATGTAATCGGAGATGATCCAAATGTGCGTTGTAATCGACCATGTGATTGAAAGTTATGAATATGAATAAAGATCACTATATGTTAAATTGACGATCGTCATGTAAATAGTGTGACGGCATCGGCGACTTATGTCGGCATTTTCTTGTCTAAAAGCAAATATGCGTTGAATATATGCATGATATGCGTTTCTAAATTAATTCCAATTGCTGGATAATTAACGTCGCGCAACGCTCTTGAATCGCGTTATATTGAATGGAAATTGTTATGGATTTAAATGAGTAAAAAGTCATTGAAACATTTCATAATAAATTTCGTTCGAATGACAAAAAAGAAACTGAGATGCTCAACCGACCATTTAGCATGCACGAGCTAAATATTCAAATCAATTGTTATGAACACCAAAATACTACGAGCGTAGTGCAGGCTCTTGACGCACGTGTATCGTGTGATAAGAGTAAATGTATCCGAGCACATGGACGAAACTTGATACGAAAAAGAGAAGGAACAACAACACGACACCGAAGCGACAGCACAACCGAACATCGTATGTTGTATCGTATGAAAATGTGTTCGCAAACATTATGAGCGTGCCCAAACGATAAAACGCTTTGAATAAATAAAATCAAGCGGCATGCTCGGTCGATCAGTCGAGAGTGGAAAGTGGCATCAGTTTGACAGTGTAAAAATCTCATTCTTTCCGAAAATCAACAACAACCGAATTTCATCACTCATTCGTTCAACGATCTCCTTTTTCTCGACATATTTTTATTTTGAGTGTTTCACAATTTGTTTGGGCTTTCCGAACAGTGTGTAGAGTGACATTGAGTTTTTCCTTTGTGTACATCGTGCTTATATCGTCAAATTTGTGCATAAACAATACTTTTGTTGTATTTTTAATTTTAGCTTAATTCGGCGTTTTTTTTTATTGGGACAGTGCTCACATTTGTTCGGATGTCAGTGCATAATAAAAATCGTGATTTTTATACTACTTTGTGGATTTTAAAGTGCGATTTGAAACGATTTTTCGCCGAAAAAAAGAGGCAAATTTTGAAGTTTTCCGTTTATAAACGAGTTTTGGAAGTGAAATACGTGCAATTTTTAGTTTATTTGTGATATTGTATTTTAATTAATCTTTTCAAATGTAAATATTTAAACAAAACGTTGCATTTTCAAACGTACATCATAAACGTCATCGTATAATTGGCGTATGATCAATTTCTGTTGCAAACTAACAAATCACGTCGAAAATATCGTTTGATTAACCAACTGTGATCCAATTCAATTTTAATCGATTTTTGATTTTCTCGTGCTAATTTCGTGTCTTTGCCTATACCTGTCAACCCTTTAACATCACAAAATGAGAATCACCAAGAGTCTTCCGTCTAAAAGTAGTACCAGAAATCAGTACTTAGCCACAGTTATCGGTAAATATTCGAGAAAAATTGACTGAAATTAAATTATCTATGTTCGCCGAATTGTGATACAGTAGAAAGTGTTATTGAATTACGTATTGTGTACAGTTTGACATTTGAAATGCGAAAATGAGAAAAAAGTATTACAAGTGCATTTATGAAAATTAAATTCATGATTTGTATGAAAAACAATTTTCTGAATTTGACCAGATTAACTGACTCCAAAAACCAGTTTCCATGTCTGCGAACTAAAAATATTCATCTTTTTCTTTCTTTTTGGTGTCTACAGTGAATATAACGAATATATTGTATGGATATGCATCAGGATGGACAAGTTCTAGTCTGCTAATTTTGGAGTCAAATGAAAAATCCCCGCTCGTTGAAGGTGCCATGGGCCAAGAGGAACGATCGTGGGTTACATCACTTTTTGCTGTATCTGGAGTCGTTGGAACCCTTCTCTACTATTTTATAGCTGATGTTGCTGGGCGAAAAATTCCACTCGCATCAGTGGCCGTTCCACATCTTGTAAGTAATAAAAAATGAGAAGATTACATTAATCATCTTTATTGCCTCATGTTTGTTAATTATTTGCATTTCATATTTGTTTATTGATGTCTATTTCAGATAAGCTGGATTCTTATCGAATACGGAATTTATCCATGGCAACTGTATTTGTCAAGAATACTATCTGGTCTCGGTAGTGGTGGTGCATTTACTCTGGTACCCATTTTTATTGCTGAAATATCAGAGGCTCAGTAAGTTTTCAATATTTTTTAAAATTTATTTCGTCGTTAAAATGACATACTTTCTATTGTGTAGTAGAAAGAGAAATTTGTTAATCGCATAATATGCAAAAAAAATTTGTACTTGAAATATCTGTATGGTCATTAAATTTGTCATTAAGGGTGTATAGACATTGACTTATGACACATATCTGACGAACGGTGGCTGCATTGTTTTACTTTCATTTTTTAACAAATAAAGTATCATAATTTTACAAAAACAATAAGTTCATATTTACTTTTTACAAAAAAAGCGTACGAGGTCGATTGGGAAGTCTATTGATGTTCTCCGCAAATGCTGGTTTTCTATTTGCATTCTTGGCCGGTTACTATCTTCAATACTTTGCCATACCATATTTCGGAATCATCCTTTCGATAGTCTATCTTTTGTCGTTTATATTCTTTCCCGAAACACCGACATTTTTATTGCGGATCAAAAAGGAAGAGGTGAGAAAATTCGATTTGTAATCAAGTGTGAGGAATTTTGAATACAGTTTTGTACCTGCTCTTTTGTATTTCAGTTGGCCGAACAGTCTTTTAGATTCTATCGAAATGTTGGCGAAGGAGAAACAATGTCAGACAATATTCGCAAAGAATGGGACGAACTTCGAAAACGAATTGATGAAACCATGCAAACTGAATGCAAAGTCAAAAACAACTTCGAATACAAAGACTTGTGTAAGTATTACGCTAACGGAAACAACAAAATGCTAATTATCAACAAAGTATATTTTAAAATTTTACTGAGTTGACCTAATGTTTGGATTAATTTATTCTTAGTTGTCAATTACTTTGAAAAATTTGCATTTTACAATTTTTCAATTTATTTTGAATGAAATTACATACACTTAAGCATCGATAGTTTCAATTTTATTTTTCTACAAATTGCGTATCGCTTGATGAAACATGTCAAATTACAGCAGAATATGCCGAATATCTTTGATAATATTGCTTCTGTAGCTTCTTCTGGATTGTTCGATCATTTGTTTTTCTATATTCTTCAAATGTCTTTACTAGAAAAAAATATGAATGCGAATAAATGTTTTGAAATTTGATCTTCAAATCTTCGAGTTACACTTGCTATATGATGAGAAGTTAGATGTACCAGCTAACAAGTTTTGTTTTTTTATTCTATTTTTATCAACATATGGTTAACATATGTTTGATGTGCAGGTACGAAACATGTTAAATGTAATGATATTTCAAGAAACTGCCTCTATACAATTCGATGAATTGATATTGCCCATAGCCAAAGGTTTTGTTTTTGCTTGTGTACTAACACAAATGTGTGGCAAATTTACTTTTTGATATGTATAACCTGCTGAGAAATTCACTAAGTTTATAGTTTTTTCTTGGTCCATGCTTCTTTCGCCTCTTTTCAAATCACTTTGCTTATCCAAAATAATCACAAATGATCCAAAAAAAAATGAAGAAAAATATGAATAAAAAGTATTAATTTTGTTAATATTTGTGTATCAAAATGATCTTCCATCATTAAAATCCAATTCAATTTACTCTTCTTTCAGTCAAAACGCGAGCTGGACGTAAGGCGTTTATGATTGGATTGGCTTTGATTTTTATGCATGAATTTTGCGGTGTATTTACAATGCTTAACTATACAGCGACCATTTTCCGTGAAAGTGGTTCAAAGTTTTCGCCTCAATTATCGGCCATATACGTTGGAGTCGTCCAATTACTAGGTGGGCCTATGTGAACTAATATTTTTTTCTATTTTTTATAAATAACATTTGAAGGTGTTTCGAAAATCAATTCCAATTTTTATTCGTTTGTTAGGAACTTACGTGGCAACATTTTTGGTGGATCGCTTAGGTCGTAAGATCCTGTTGATATCTTCAGCGATTGGAACATCATTGTGTCTGTCATGTCTTGGCTCCTACTCCTACTTGCATTCGATTGGTGTCGATGTCAGTCCGTACTCATGGATTTCCATTGCCAGTTTCTCAGGAATGATGTTTTTAGCTGCCATTGGACTGATACCAATTATGTTCATTGTGATCGCAGAAGTGATGCCAGAGAAGGTAATGAAACTGAACTTAATTACAATTCGAAATATTCATCATCGTTTACTTTGTGCTTCAATTAGGTGCGTAGTATTGGGTGTACAATTTGTTTCTGTTTATCGTGGATCCTGGCATTTGTGATGGTCAAATTCTTCGAATCAGTTGCGCTCGTCTTTGGAATGCACGGCTGGGTGTTTTTATTCAGCGGTTGCACACTTTTTGGTGCCATATTCATCATCGTATTTATTCCAGAAACCAAAGGAAAGAATTATGCCGAAATTGCGGCCATTTTAGAACGATAGACATTTTTAAAATGTAGTTGTATAAATCGAATTTTATGGAAAGGACTATAGTTTCTTTTAGATGAACGTTAATTTTATCAATGACAAATTATGTACTTATTTTGTTCTCGAGTCGTTAAATTTTTATAGAAAATTTGTTGAAAATAAATATTTGAAAAAAAAAAAAAATGGAAATTCCATGAGTTTTGCTCAATGATTAGCAAGCAATACTCAGAGAGTATTACAAACATACATAGTCCAGTGATCAATTATCAACAAGTGTTCATAGGTCCAATTGTGCTTGGTATGTATTTTTCCTTCTCCTTCATTCCTATTTAGATTAGTCTCATGGGTGATTCCTTAGAAAAACCACGATTAAAAACATGATGGCTATCGTCATTTTTTTTCTCGTCCGTTTCAAAGGATTTCTTTATTTATTTTTATTCTTCTCACAATTTTTGACAATTATTCTATAAATTAATTTAATATCAATTTATGATTATACATAAAAAAGAAATGGAATAGAATATGAAAACAAACAACGAATAAATTACATGACAGCATTTGAAATTAGCGTAATTTGTCGAATATATTTTGTGTTGTTGAGTAAATTGTGAGTATGTTCATTTTGGGTCGTTAAAATGTCTCTTTTTTTATGTTTCGATATACAGACACTTATTAAACTGCCAGACATGATTTTTTATTGGAAAATTTACTCGGTGTGATCATTTTTAAATTTTTTTGTAGTTTTTATTTCGTGTATTTTTTTTGTATGTTACAATTATGACATTTTGTTAAATACAATATGTAATATTGCTCTAGCTGATACACAAATCGATTGTGTTCTTGAAAATACCTTCAACAAGAAAAGAAATTGATAGGAAGAAAAAAAAATAATTCATATCCAAATTACAGAATGTTATTGTTGTTGATGCTGCGCGCAATGTGTGTGCTTGTATGATTTGATGGTCTTGGAATTTTAAGCTAATTTTTCTCATATTTTCTCTCTTTACGTTGTGTATTTTTTTCATCTTCTTTTTTATTCGGTTTGTGCTTTAACTGAGGTATCCATATCACTTGATTTTAGCATAAATATCCACTTTTTTATGAAACCAACTATAATAATCGGCTACGGCGATTTGTGTTTGATTAAGAGCTTTGCCTAGATTTTCGGGTGAAAGTTGTCCGCTGTATTATCAGCAATAAGAAGAAAAAAGGAGAGAAGAAATTGTGTTATCAGTAAATAAAACGTGTCAGAATAAAGACGAACGGTCAAACGATCGAACGAATGTTGAAAAAAAAAAACGACAAATTATGCAACACAAATATTGAAATACTTACACAAAAACTTTTGTTTGAAGAAAATCAACGCTGTTTGAGTACACAGTACAGCTGGTGCTAGAAATGAATTTCCACGTTGAAATCGATGAGTCCGAAATTTTTTGTGGTAAACCAGGTGCATACTGTTCGATCTATGTGTGATGTGGAAAATGAAGAATATTGATTAAATAAAATGCATGAGATAGTGGCTTTCAAAATTGTTCAATGCGTAAGAGTTTTCGCAAGGCAAAATTAAATATTTGTTCAAATAAAATGTTCATTGAAACGATGACCTCGAAAATGTGCTGAATGCGTTTGAACACACGTCGAACACACATTGATGGAATGCCATCGAATCAGCGATTTTTTTGTGTGTGTGTGTGACACATTGAGGAATTTTAAAACAGCAAGAGAGAAAAAAAAATCGAATACTTACGAAATTAACAACTACGGGTGTTTTTGCTGAAACATATTCTTTTGTGACAGTCCATCCATTTTTAGCTCCATTCAATGCAACAATTCCAAAATCTTTCAAAAATAAACCGTATGGCTTAAGAGCAACATAGGTGACGTTAGCGTAGATTGGTACATTGACTTCAGCCCATTGGTAGCCACGCGCACTGGTGGACAATGATTTTGTCCAGGCAACTTCAACGTATGGCAATGCTCCGGTATCTTTCAAAAATTTACCGGCAGCTGACTTCTCAAAAACACCATCATTACGTTGTGTATCGTATGCTAAAAGTCCACCAATTGCAGCGAGCAACAACACAATACCGAAAAACCATGGGCAACACGATGATTTCGTTGATGATTTTCCTTTCTTTTGTGATTTATCTTGAGAGGACTGCAAAACAATAGAAACATTCGTTAATCGTTACGTCTTTTTTTCAAATAAAATTTCGATTGAAAATTTCACGGAAAAAAGTATGCAATAAAAAATTGATGGAAAAAATACTCACTTTCTTGGCAACTTTCGGTTGCTTTTGTTGCTTTTTGTTATTCCCTCCAGCCATGGTTTGTAGTTAGTGTTTTAAAATAAAATCTGTAAAAATATTTCCAGAAAGAAAAAACCAGAATTCAAAATTTGTTATCAGTTGATATGTGAACGGGACGACGTGCTATTTATAAATGATGACAATTGTTCAAATCATTCGCTTAACTAGATGAACTTCAATACATTAGAGAAGAAAAGTCAATGTCAAATGTCGAAAAACGATTAGAACGAAGCGCCGAACAGAATAAAATATATATATTAATGATGTTTTGCTTGAGAATGAAGTACGAAAAATTCATTAGGTGGCAATGACTCAAACAGGTATTCGAGAGAATATTCGCCAATCCCATGTCATTCATGTGTGCAAACACAATAGCAAAAATGCATATTACAATAAACCGATTTGCTTATTTGTCTCGACACTAGCAAAACGAGTATTCTTCATATATATATTCATTTCTCATTTCAGGTCCAAAATCAACATTTCGTTTGCAAAATATTTGTTGGCAGTTGACGACACAACTACGAAAATGTGTTTTTGCACATTTTTTTCGCAGTACATTCGTGAATAAATGCAATTTTGTGTAATTGTGTGCTGATTATGAAAAATTGTTCAAAATTGATTTTTCCAATTGAAATCAGTGGCAAATAATTTACAATTTTTCTGGAACTGTCAATATTAAAATAATTGCGTTGCAATTATACAGCATCTAGTTACAAATTAACACTAGCAACATATAATATTTTTTTCTCTGTTCTGGTCGTCTCTCGCCTGTTAGTTTGATGTGCGTCTGTACAAAGAAACGGGATAGAATGCGATGCAAAACATCATGGCGACCGGCGGAACGGTGTGTGCACGAAAGAGACTAATAGATACACAATATAAAAATCAATAGAAGAAATGAAAACCAACCAAATACAGAGACAACACTTAAACGGATTTATTTGCTACAATTTTCTAAACCAAATCAAATTTCTATTTCAACAATCGATTAGCACATTTCTTTGGCACCGACACTTTCACAAATCGATATATCCCCCGAAAAAATGAAATGACGACGGAAAAACGGTCGTTTCTCTAGTTTTTTTCTCTTTGATTGTGGTACTCCTTTGTTTGGAATGAAATCACAGTGAGCCAACGGCAGTCACAAATTAGATCCGTCGGAAAATTAGTCGGGATGAATGTGTGAATAGAAATTTAGATAATGGTCAAATTTTGATGACAACACAACACTTTTTTTTCGTCTTCTCTTTTTGTTACCTTCTTCTATAGTTGAAAGCAACTAGCAGACTCAAAATGTTAAAACGAAGAACCGCACAAATACTTCTAGTACGAGTAACGCACACATTGATTTCAAATCAACTAATACTAATGCTCACACGGAACATGGACCGAACGTGTGTCTGTGTGTATGTAAGATATATCATCGCCCCGAAAGATCTAACAAAGTATACACCATTCCAAGGCACGCACACATATAAACGCATCGATACTGTGGGTCTCACAGAAAGAGAGAAAAAACGTTAACGCATCGGCATCGTGTTTGGCTGATGTCAAGCGGCTAAATTATCGCATACTTAATTTCAAATGGAATATTCTTTTTTTTTGGTTGAATTTCGTAAGTCTGTGCAACCACGAATACAATTACAGTGAAAGTCGTATCTTTGATTAATTGGCTATCGAATATACTTTTTTATTGCGAAACCATCGATTTCAAGATAATATACGCTTGTCTGAACGTTGCCCTTTTTTTCGAAGATGATTTTTGGAATGACAATTGAAATTTCTTTGCTACTCTAAATGACTATTTTCACTGTGACCTTTTTTTTACTAGAAATTTCACCAGACAGATTAACTATTCCACTTACCGCGATATAAAACTGAATCAATTTTTTTGGTCGTAACGTTATGGCACCAACGTTGCTTTCCAACTACCTATCGGTTACTGATTGCCAATGCTAAAAACTACAACGTATGTCGACGTGTTAAAAACTCGCCGCATTTCATACATGACGGTTTTTTTTTTCAGATGATCTTTCACTCGTGTTGCGTATGTGTGCGACCAGAGTAGAGCAGACGAACGCGTATGTGAAACATGTTCTCAGAGAATTCCAGTGTGTGCGTGTGCGATGTGGAAAAATTCAAATTTTCACTGTTGCCATTGTGGTGTCATTGTGGTCAAACTTGTTTTGAAGCACAATCAACAGAAGAAATTACCAAACTGCATTCGATAAAATTTCATCTTTTTTGTTATCAAAACGGAATATTTTACAAAATTCTTATCAATTTGTTCCATTGAACGAGAATTAATATTTTAATTGATAGCATTGATCGAAATTTTACACGAATGACAGACGGAGTTTTGTAGAAAGAGACAAACTGACATTTGTGCAATGTCGTTACCTTGTGTGTATTTCCAGTATAAAACGGCCCCCAGCGCATGGAATTCAATGCACATCAGCATGAAATACAGTATAAGAGCTCAACGCACTTTGAATTCAAAACACAAAGGGGTTTTTTTGTAACTGATTTTAACCGAAATATGACTGACGCTTGCATTTTTACGTCATTATTTTGCCATTTAATGTTATTTGGTCTTATTCGAGATCATACGAAACAAAAATATCCAGTTTAGATTATACGAAAAAAATACAAATATTTAATCGATCGAAATAAATGCGATGGCAATGAAAGAAATGAACGAGATTTTTTCATTTCAAGCATGGAATAAAATAGACGACTTGATATTACTGAATGTTATTTATATTTGCGATAAAAACCATTCTATGTTGTCCTCATGAAGTGTTTCATGTTTATATTTATATCATGTCACGTTATAAATAACGCGAACAAAAAATTATCGTGACACCAGTGAAAATGAAAGCAATAAATTGATAATAAAAATTGAGCTGTTATTTCTTCTCCAAGTGAGCTGATTTCATGGAAATCAATCAGGTTGTGTCGTTTCGTTGTTGTTCTTTTTTATATATCTTTTACATATCATGTGCATTGTTATGTCTACGTGTCTTACTGTTCTTCAACTCTCGTTTCTTTCTTATTCCCTCTCTTTGTTTTAAACCCTTTGGGTTCGTGTATTTGGCTCATAGTCGTTCATTCGCACATGTTTTCACGAGGTGTGTAAATGGTACACAAGGAAAATAAGTGAAAGATCGACTGTACTTGACGTGCTTGCGTCTGCTTCATCCTATATATGCAATATTACATATATGAAGCATACAATGACCATAAAAAACACACATAAATTCGATGTTAGAGAGTGCGAGCGATGTAAACGAAAAAAAAGTCACCCCAAAACCATATTGCGACTGTTGATTGCCTAGGTGTATGGCGTACATCCGTATGTGTAATGTTCAACCAAAATGGGGAAATGCATTTTGTCGACGCACACATACACACACACAGGGAGAGAGTAAATGTGTTGGTCGAATGGTTGTTGGTTTATTGGCATTGTGCATATACGTATCAAGCGTATCTCTATATTGTATAATACCTATGGTAGAAGTGGCACATGCACAACACTATATGCGACGAATATGAGTAAAGCACACAGAACCGTATATATGTAAATTTACAAACATCCATACGATCGAATCGGAATAAATGTGCTATGGCGATTGGTGCGCATGTCCAGGCCACAGAGTGACATTACTTAATGTTCATTTGTTCGCAATGGGCATTGCTATAAGAATTGGATAAATTTGTACATTGGTTTTCATCCAAACGGTTGGTGTACACTGATGGAAGAGCAACGAAAAAAATGTGACACCCTGCGTTCTAAACCAAACAAATCGCAATGACGAACATAATGAGTTGTTGTGTATATCGGAGAAGATGTCGATGTGTGAATGTGTATGGCATGAATTTCCATGTTGTGTATAAAATGATTGCATGTTCATAAAGCGAGCATAGCATAAAGACCAACATCGTGTGCCATACCATTAGTCCTTAGCAAAGTGGTGCTACTGCTGCCAGAGAGTAAATACAACTCACAGTTCAGTTTTTCGCGTACAATCAGCGTTCATTGTTTGTTGGCTGGCATTTTAGTTGTTGCCAAAAAAAAAGAAGAAGAAAGTAGACAGAAAAAAAACCCGAGCATACGCATCGCATTGAATTAGAAATAACTCCAATTGGGAAATAGGGAGCCAATAGGAATAGAAAAACGTTGAGAAACTCACAAATTCAAGCCATTAAATAATCACCATCAACGAGCCATAAGGGTTTGTTCTGCATATACAGTCAATATTTAGAGAGAATTTTTTTTTCTCAATTTAAATTTCCATTGTGTGTCGAACATTACAACTGTTCTGAAAAGAAAACGAAAATTGACGAAATATCGTGATAAAATTTACATAATAGAATCGATTCGGAAATAAGTTGATAGTGCGTGTTAACACGGAATCGATAAAATTCGAACTACCGCAAATCAGAACGAAAATAAAAATCCGTATAACACATGCGAGAGAGCGAAAAGACACACGTAGAAAATTGACGAAAATTGTACAAAACAAGTTGAAAAGATTTCGCCATATTACACATACCAATTTGGAAAAAAAGTGATAAAAAAGACGAAAACTCGCGAAATAAATAGAACAAAGTTATTTACACCCGTGTGTCGCATTTTAGTTTTTTTGTTAGGACCACATCAATTGTGTCAAGATATAGTGCAAGAAAAAAGTTTGCAGACTAAGACAAAATAAATAATAAAAGCTGAACAACATTTAAGCCATCCAATATAAGCCAGCCACGACAGACGTAATTTATTATTACGGGGATTAGGCCGGTTGAGAAAATCGGAGAGGTATCACTTTGCAGAATAGGCAAAGTAGCATCAACGACCATCATACACACCAACGAGACCGAGCCACGCCACATTCGCATACACTTTTTTCCTCTCAATTTTCAATTCGACGAAAAGAAAACACAAACAATCCATTTATCCAAAAAGACATAAAGCAAACATTACAACAACAAAAAAAGAGAAAAGAACACACACGAGAACAACAACAGCCTCGCCGTTTTTTCTCACAAGGCCTATATCCCATCGACATTATATTTGAACACGAGAATAAACACAAGATAATCATTGCGGATTGTATGATTCAATCATCAGATGATAAATATTCCATAAATCAAAATCAAAAACGTGCTTCTTGTGTGGAAAGCTTCAGCTGTGATTTAAATCATTTCTACGTTTTTATAAGAAATAAATAAGTAACCAACAAAAAAACACACACACACAAAAACAACAAAAAATCTAGGGAAATCATTGAATATATAAAGGAAAACCACCAATTATCAAGTTTGGTGGTTGTTTTGTGGAAATTTCGTATTCGCTGTTTTATTTTGAGAAAATACATTTGAGTCCATAGAATCAGCAACTCAATTTGACGACGACGACAAATTGAGAGAAACCATATTGAAGCAGCCGAGAACTCAGAGTAACAGCAATTAAAAACACTTAATTAACTGTTATCATCTGATTTGTAAGTATTTATATATATACATTATTTATATTCGGAAAATGAGCATGTGCTGTGTGTATGTGCATGAGTAACCATTTCTCAACCCGTTCAAATATTCACTAACTATTTAATCAGTGTAGTTACGCTACAGCGAAAGTAGGAAAAAACCGTAAAATTTCTCACCCCATCATCATTATTAGATTTTCATATCGTTTTCATTAGACATTTACTTTGGCATTAGTCATAAAATCGACGTTTGCTACAATTTTCCATTCAAACACACAATTTCAAATTAAAATTAACGATTTATCGATTTTTACGTGTAAACTTCTCACATTTACAATTTGCTTTGATTAATGGTGTTAAAATGATTGCCACTGCATTACAATAAACCAAAGTTCGGTCGCACCAATCAAATTCATAAATGACTTATCATTTTCACCGCAATTTCCTACAGAGATTTTTGTAATTTAATCCATTTTGCTTTGAACCTATTCTCTCTTTTTATTACATTTTTCATTGTCTCTTTACCCTTTCGTGTGGGCAAAAGTTTCCATTGTTTGTTTGATACTCTCTCGAATAATTCCAAATACACACAAAAAAAAAACTTTTTTCAAATGGAAAAGTTTTATGTAAAACATAATGTGTGCCATATTCTTGGTCGCGACGGATGTCGCACCTAACGCAGCACAAACAACATGCACACAAATTATATTTTGACAACAAAAAGAAAGCAAAAATGGCGTTGTACGAGAGGTTTCACGTGTTCGGTGAGAGTCAAACAGAGAATGAAAAAGGATCAACATACATTTTGAAGCAAAACGCATAAATTACATATATTTCAAATACTAAATTATGCAGAAAACCCGTTGTATAAATAAGAATCTAAGCAGAAACAATACGATGAAAATCAAGAAGTAAAATACACGAAAAAAAATGACTTGTTGTATTTGCTTTTATGAAGGTCGAACCGTATTCTCGACTCACACACATGCCCCAAAATACCAATGTTGAATGCAGAATTTTTCGGTTTACGTCAATCGAATTCGCAGACCGAACAACACGTCTTGAATATAAATTTTCAGGATGGATGCGTCGCACTTTAAACATCCATTTTATTGTCCTTTTCACATTCATCATCGGAAAACTAACGAAAAATGAAATGGAAATAATTCAAGGCATTAAGGCAGTTTTCACATAGAAAATTAGACATTTAGCGATAGTTTTCACTTTATCTGAACTAATTAGTCTTGTTGATGCGCTCACATTCCAGCACACTGACGGAATGAGAGGGTTTTTTATCGTTCTTAAATTGCAGTCGCCATGAGTGACTTGTATAAATGGTTAAAGGATTGCCACACTTAGACATGTTATTAGGTTGAAGGATCATGTAATATAGCCCTTATTTCGATGTAAATGATATCCTGCTATTATGCTCATTCTCTCATCGTATATGGTTATGAGTTTGTCTGCTAAATGCCTCAAATTCAACCAATTTAACATTCGTTCATAACTTCAACGAAAGATATATAATATTATAATCCAATCATGTATGGCATAAAACAATTTTACTCACCAAATTCGGTGGCACACAGTGAAAAATTACGAATGCTAAATTGGCTGGAATTGAAGTGTGTGGCGGCCTTTTGCCATTGATTACTTCATTATCAAATAGTTTAGTAGACAATAGCTTGTTCATTTGGCTTAGACTCTCGGATGCCTCGGAGGAATGCAATTGCTTACTAATTGTTCGCTTTGTGTATTCATTTACAGAAATGGAAATCATACCGGAAGGTGTACACTTTCGATTGGTGCAAGACGATGAGCTTCCAGCTATTTTGGAATATTTAAAACAATATATGCCGGAGGCAATAAAGGTAATATGTATTTTCCAATTTTATCACAGGGAAATTGCGTCATAAGCTTTGCAAATTTAAAATTGAAATTTTTATTTATCGAATTGAACGCGTTCACTGCAAAATATCAAAATGTCGAAGAAAGTGATATTAAAAGGTTATGGTTGTATTTTTTTTCTAAATGCAAAATATTAAATTCATTGGAGCATGAAATTCTAATCCTGATGGCACGGAAATGTTTCCATCTGATGTTCGAACATGGTACCTGTTGTTGGAAATTGTGATTTTCCACGCAATAGCACTCCGATACCATAGAGCGTGTTTGTGCGCTTACGTATGACTCAATGCAATATGGTGTGAAAAATGTTAGACAACACAATCCGAGCAAATATTGCCTTTTGAATTTGCGTGCAATTACACAACTCGACAGACGAGTGACGAATGTGTATCAACTGTTCGTTCGTTATTGTTAATTTTTTCCCGCTTTTGTTTAGCTACGATACGTTAATTTGCTAAACTTTCGCTTGACATCTGTTAAAGGTTGTGCCTTGTTAATTCAATTGGACGCCGGAAAATTGTATGGAAAAAGTGGTGATCGGCACGCTCTAGTGAATTCAAATTATATATTTTTTAAAAACACACACATTTTTAAAGTACATGCTATGTGCTGTGTTTGTACGCGATTTTTTGTGTTCCAAAATTGACCTTGTCTTTTACTCCGGCTCAAGGTCTGCAACACCATTTTTTTTTTAATTTTGAATTTTCATTAGGTATTTGCATTTTCATGAAAAATGTGTGTTTTCCTCCGAAAGTTCTTCATATTTAAATAGCTGTAAGCTATGTCTGTCCATTTCATGTTCTACAGACACTAGACATGTTTAAAGTATGCATGCATGCACACCAATCGCATTCTATTTCGAATAATTTAGCTGCATTGTTATTGCTTACTAATGAAATGGCTAACGAAGAAGAGAATGTTAGCGACAACATTGGGGTAGAAAAAAAAAACAAAATCCGCGCCAAGACGTCGCTATTTTTTGCCAGCAGTTATTTTTGTTTCGTTTCAATTTGCTTTTATTTTTCATGAATCTATTAATTTTTCCGCGGTCTAATTGGGTCATTGCATGACACTACCATACGAGAACGATGGAGAATAAAGAGCTTGAGCACATTTCACTGAACATAGGCAAACAAACAAATTACTACAATACTTGAGTATGCGACGCCACTATTAAAACAATAAATAACACTTTCCACTTGGTGAAAATTGTATGCACGCGCCTCTTTCTCTTTGACTATCAACACGATGGCATTTGTTTTTTTTTTGGCAGCACCACTAAAACAATGAAGCAGCGCGCGATTGTCAGCAACAGCATATGATTGTGCTAATGCCAATGCTTGTGCTGCTTCTGTCTCATTGCCGAATTTCCATTCAATTTTTCAAGTGCACGGAAACAAGAGAGTATTGATTTATTTTAGATCAGCGTGCGCGCGGGCATTGAAATTATATATTCATGCCAAAAATTATTTGCTTCAACTTAATTGCGGCAACCAAATTGGATTTTCTACATTAAAATTTATACATAATTTAATGGCGATTTATTGAGTGGAGTGTGCAATTAATTGAACAAAAAGCCAATTCAATTCACAAGCTAAATTATATTTTATAGATTTATAATTATGACACACCTTGTGCGCGCTGTTGTTTTTGTTTACTTTAACTAATTTATTTTAATTTTTTTTTTTATTTTGACCTCGCCAAATAGTTTCATCAAACAATAAAAACGTACCTGAATGATCGAGTATGGAAGTTTTATTTTTATGTATCGAAAAAGTGGCCCGATGAACCGATTTGTTTACATTTTCCTGGCTGCACTTTGACGGTAAGCCTTTTGAAATTGGAATATTCAAAATAATGTGATGTCTCAAAGAAAGCGAGAGTGTGAGAGACGAAGAGTGAAAAGAAACAAACTTCATTTCGAATTTTGTGTTTGTTCAACAGCCAAAGGATAATATTTATGGAAGTTTCGGCATATTTTGCCCGTCGGAACGATTGGAATGCGTCGACTTAATGGAAACGGAAACAATTTTAATTGATTGGACACTAGAGATGTACCTGAATTTTACGCACATTGGCATTATGAATCGAATTGATCAGTTTTATCAGAAGTATGGTGTGATGGAACGTTTGCACGGCGATATTTATGTAGCACAAGCTCCTTTCAAGCAAATTGAATTGGAAAGGTAATGAAGAGCACCAACGCACATTAAAAATTGGTGTGTGTATGTGTGTATCTGTCTAAAATAGCTCTGGAAAACCATTAAATAATTAATTGTACGCTTTAATTGTGTACCGTATTTTTTTTCTATCTCTTTCGTGTGTAATATAGTTTGCCTGACGATGAGGTTGAGATGCGTCCGTTGAACATTAATAATGTTAAAGCCATTCACGACTTGTATCCGGCTAGTGAAATAGAATGCGTTGAAGTGTTCGAAAAGCTCATTGGCACCTTACCAGGGTTTGGTGTTTTTGTACACGATACAGACGAACTCTGTGCATGGATGATGCATTCGTATTATGGCGCCATGTTCTCAATGCAAACAAAACCGCAATTTCGTCGTAAAGGGTAAGCGCTTAGGTTTTTATGGTTTTTATTTAAAAAAAATAACGAAACAAATTAACTCTCACTTTGGCTAAACGCATCAATTTTCCCATTTTATTTGCATGGCCAAAAAAAAGGTATGGAATTCATTTGGCTCAGGCACTCACCGAAAAAGTCATCGATCGCGGCTACACACCATTCGTCGTGATTCGCCCCGAAAATGATGCATCACGAAACTTATACACAAAATTAGGATACAAAAAGGCTTATGAAACGGTACGTGTAACTTTACAACCAAAGGTGACCGGTGACACAACTGAAAAGCTCAATGGTCACTGTGCCAATGGTCACCATATCATCGATATTCAAAAAGACGAAGGCATCGAAGATATGCGTGCAGAAATTGTACAAAATATCAGTCCAAATCAAAATGAGGTGGCCAAAGACGAGGGCATCGACAATGGCGAAGAATAAACGCACGAATTTTCAACCAACAGAACAAATTGGACAAAACAATTTTCGAATTGTGATTCTCACGTTTTAATTCCTTCTATTCCTATAATTCCCAAACCAACCAAAAAAAAAACCAGCAACAAACAATACATTTCTCTGATGCCGCAAAACCATGAAGCTAAAATGCTAGCAAATGATTGCCTAAAAACAATGAATATAATTTTAAATTTAAATATCAGAAGGTGAAGAAAACAAAAATTAAAAATTCAAAGGACGAATTTTATTTTCTTGAAAGACATGAACATGTGCAAAGAAATCATAAAAGACATGAACATTTTTAAGTAAAAGAAAAAGAGTGTATATGGAAATGGATAGGGCTTAATTTATGATGAAAACAAAAAAAAACACACACACAACACTTTTTTTGTATGGCGATAATGCATTTATTTTAGCGCGAAAAATGTCTTCTACATTTATATTATATTATATTATACTGTATGAACCTTTTTATGAATATGTAATCGAAATAGATACTCTTTTCTTAAGCGATTTGATTATATTTATCTAGCGGAATGTGATCTACATATATTTTCCAATTTATTTTTCTGTCCAATTCTGTTCGTTTTCCATCTTATATGATAACACTTCTTATCAACAAAAAAATTGAAAAACACTTTAGAAGTCTCTATCATTTATCCGTAGCTTTCCAGTATATAACCAATCAAACGGGAGAATCGAAAAATGTTTGAGAAAAAGAAAATTCGAAAGAAACATGCATAGATTTGAGATTATTTCGTACCCGATCGTAGAGCTCGCTTTCAAAAAGAAAAAAAAATACAATGTTGATCTAATTCGAATTTTGTTGCAAATGAAATCGGGGGGCGTAAAATTACTATATCAAGCTCAAGGAATCTGATACCGTATGCATGCAACTGAAACGTGTGTGTGAAATTTTTTATAAATCCAATCGGGCTCACACAATTCTTACATATTTATAATTACATCTTTTGCCATTTTTTACTATTTTATTCGTATCATTAAAACAAAGAAGAAGAAGAAGTGGTAGCTGAACAATGAAAAGCCTATACTTTTATACAACTTTTAGTCTTCGAATGAGCGCAAAATCATTATAAATATGTTTAAACAAAATTATCGAGTAGACCTTAATCACATAATGGCAATATAATGGTGCCGTATTTATTTGATTTTTTTTTTCTTTCGCGAAATTATTTCAATGCCTGCATAAAAGAGCTTGAATATATTTGCACGAATAGCCAAATTGCGATTGTGATAAATATTAAAAGAATTTTTTTAAACAAAAAATTGTAGAAGCATAGGCATTCAAAATGAGTTCCATAGTTTGGTCAGTTTATGTCGAATTTTTTTTTAATTTGAAATGCAAATCTGCATTATTACACATTAGCTGACAATAACAATAGAGCCACACTGAGAAATAAAAAAAATAGTCGCTCGAATAATGGCATGTAACAATCTCATATGTTGAATTGTTAAATTCAATGCCAATAACGAAATATTCAAGGCTTACCTCGTGTATATACCATATACACAGTTTTCAAATGAATAAATTATTATTTATTCAAATTTTAAAAAAGGAGGAAAGAAAAACTATTTTGCGCCATTATGTGATTAGCGAAAACGGAGAAAAGAATGAAAACAACAGTCATTTTCTCTTAATTATTATTATTCCAACTATCATCAATGTAACACGATGAAACAAATAACAAAATATGTAATATCATTTATATTATACGGCAACAATTTTTGGTCCAAACATATAGATTCGTTTTCTAATTAATCTTGCACACAGTATTTTTCCCAAAACAAATGAAAATGAAGAAGGAGGAAAAAACGACAAAGAAAATAGTCCGTCAGGAAAGTCTCTAGACACACAAAAAGAGAAATACATTACACCATATGCTTATGCGTGAATGAAGTTGCAGTTTTGCCATTTATGCTCACAAAAAAAAAAAAATATGGGAAAAACACAAGAAAATACCAAAAAATGAGAAATTAACCAACATTTTCTTTAGGATTAATGATTACATGTGCTTTATCATTCAGTCATATCTATTCTAATTTTGAAGGAAAAGAAAATCAATGATTATGCAAGAAAAAAAGTGAAAGAAAACTGAACAAATTATCCAAGTAAAATAATCAAGCACCAGACCGTTAACATTGACATCCAGGACGGTGTGAGCATATAACATGACACACATACACAGATTGCCTAAAGTATTGCTTTGTGAACAGCAGCAGCATAGCTAGAAACACCAGAAGGAACACTTTTTGTTATAATCTTTTTTCTTTACAAAACTTTTTTACATTTTAATGCACACACACACACAAAATAGAAGAAAAAAACAGACAGACCGATAGAATGCATACAAAGATAGAACCCAGGATCAAATTTGTTTTAGTCTGTATAATAGAGAGATGAAATCGAACAACAAAACGAACGCAACTTTAACAAAGATTTAAAAAAAATGAAACCGAAGAATAAAAAGAACTATAGTTAGACACTGAAATATAAAATATATATATATATATTACTTATAACGAATGAAGAAGAAACCAAAGTAATTATTGTAAAACAAATTTGTATTTGAAACAAAAGAAAAAAAAAACAACAACTGAAACAAATCATGCAAATGTATAAACAAATATCTGTAATAGAAATGATGTGTGCGTGTATGTGCCGAAGATGTATTGAATGTTGTGTATTGAATTCGAAACAAAATGTGAGTGTTTGATGAAACTGAAAAAGAAAAGAAATGTATTCTATTGTACACAAGCCACACATTTTCATTTCATAAATAAACTATGAATCTTCTAATTGAACCAACTTAAATGATGTTTTTATTTCATTGTTATTCGATCAGTTAATATTTGAATTTTACTGGAAAAAAGCATCATTTGAATTGACTTATTCCAGTGGAATGTAGCACGTGGCGCCGCCATTCGTAAATCATCCGAAACCAGTTGGCTGTCACATACGCTATGACACATTGTTTATTTTATTTCATACTATCAGTCTTGATGGCAATAAAGTCTTAGATTTTATTTGTTTATTCTTGTTTAGTTTGGGCACAGTCAAAATAGAAATCATTCCTCAATAGATAGTTGATCGTCTAATTGCAAACGAGTATCACGATGGCCGACAGTTCCGACGAAGATTTTTCAAATGGATGGATTCCGTATGCAAGGCGACCTGAATGGAAAGATGTAACACCACTTGAACAAGACGACGGAGAGAATCCAGTTGTTGTCATTGCCTACAGTGATCGATGTAAGTGTTTCAGTTAATTTCAATAGAATTGACAACGATTTAATGCGACACATTTTATTTGCAGTCAAAGATGTATACAACTATTTTCGCGCAATTATCGCCAGCGGAGAGAAATCGCTACGTGCATTATATCTCACTGATGATGCACTAAAGTTGAATGCATCCAACTATACCGTCTGGCAATACAGGTAATTTTCGTTCGAAGCATCGGAATAAAGCAGTCATTTTTTTAATGTCTTATTCTTTATTTTTAACAGACGTGACATTCTACGTGCATTGGACACTGATTTGTCCGAAGAGCTTGAATACACCGAAGAAATAATTTGTCGAAATCCAAAAAGTTACCAAGTATGGCATCACCGTCGTGTCATCGTTGAATGGCTGAACGACGGTTCGAAAGAACTCGAACTGACCGAACAAGTTTTGAACATGGACGCCAAGAATTATCATGCTTGGCAACATCGCCAATGGGCCATTAAACAATTCAAGTAAGTTTTTAAGGAGAACAGTCATTTTGGGTGGATTAACTCGTTTAACGCGATTTTATTTCCATTTTTAGTCTCTTCGATAATGAACTAGTTTTTGTGGACAAACTGATTGGCGCCGATCTGAGAAATAATTCTGCATGGAATCAACGGTATTTTGTATTGAACCATGAAGGATTTACACCCGAAGTCATCGAAGTCGAGCTAAATTATGTCATGAATCGAATTCGACTTGTGAAAAATAACGAAAGCACATGGAATTACCTACGTGGTCTACTCCAACATGGCACCGGAAAATTGGATCAATATCCAGATGTGAGTATGAAAGCAGTGGCCTATTGTACGTTCGACCCAAAATAGAAAAACTTTAAATTAAGAGTTCAAATTGAGAGAGAGAGTGAAACGTGTACGTTCTACTGACACGGTTTCAAGTCAAAAGGGCGAATCCCCTATGAATATTGAAAGATTCATGTTCCATGCAATTTAATTTTTAATCATAATTTTGGCATTTATTTTCTATGCTCAACAGGTTGTCGATTTCTGTGAAGAATTGTATGCGTCTGGTGTTAAATCGCCGTTCCTGTTGGCATTTTTGGTTGATTTGTACCAAGAGAAGCGACTTGATTGGGACGAAAGTACCAGCGAAGACGATCCAAAGCAACTCGAAGACCGTGTTAATGAATTGTGCAATCAATTGATATCGACACATGATACAATTCGTGCCAAATATTGGGAATATATTTTGAATAAATTTAAAATCAAGCTATCACGCAGTGGAACAGACCCAGAATCGAATACAAATCAAAGCTAAAGATAATTCAAGTCATTTTCTTTTATATATTGTAAACACACAGCGATAGTTGAAAATAAAATCTGTTTTTATCACTCACACCAACATTATACACATTATTGGTTACGTGCTCGGTTTTTATGGACAATTTCAACGATGGAAAGATAACATTCATCATGGTATCGTCTTTTTTTTCATTAATCCACCGAGATTCAATGTCATTTTTCATAATATAGCGTACGAAACTGTTAACACGTGTCAAAGCAATGAAGTCTTTTAGGTTTTATATTTAACAACCCGTTCGAACCCGATGGCAACAGCTAACGGTCACATTTTCGTTCGGCATCAAGATAAGAAATCGAAACAAAAAAAAAACTTGCAGACACGATTGTAATTGAAAAGTAATAAATAAAACGTCTGCGTGTATTACATATATGCAACGAGTGATAGGTCATCGTCAGGGATACTGAGTCACCAAAACACAATGCGCTTCGGTTTTTTTTATCCAGATTCAAATCGATGTATGCACACTTCTATCGTGTATTGCGAACACTACATTACCTCACATGATAATCACATTACGTCTAACATAATCGAACCACGGTCCAATTAATGTGACCAACTAATACGTACCTGATCCGATTGATTCGATTTCAGCAATCGCTTTGTGCATGCGAGCGCTTTCAATAGCCAAATCATTCAATACTCTCTTTTGAACCATCGTATCATCCAGTCGGACATTCTGGAACTAGTTTTTTTCGGCCAACCACACTAAGTTTATATGTTTTTACATTTCTTTTTAAAGTTCAAATCAAAATTTAATAATTCGAAATAATAATATAAATTATTTAATACATTGTTTTCGTGTGAAAATTCACATACAAAATGTTTTCGTTTTTATCGAGAGTTCGTTTTAAAATTTCCATCGTATTTTGTTGCTTTGTTCTCTTCTACATTCGATATTGTGCTGGTCAAAGTTCACAGAATATTAACGTCCGTAAGTTTTACACCAGAAGGAGCAATTTTTTTTACAATATTTTATATTGTTTTGTGATTCAATCATAACATATTGATGTATTCATTAGAAGATAAAAGAAAGTGTTTCTGGAAAGTTAATCAATTAAAATTAATCGTAAAAAAATAAATCTTTTCAAGTATTTATTAACAAATGATAATAAAAAAGTTATTCAAAATTACAACAATAAATGAACTGTTTTTTTCTCGCACCTCAAAAAGTGTTCATCAACGAAGTCGACAATGATCCCGCCTCTCAGGCTCTCGAGATTGTGATGAACTATATAAAGAAAAATCCATCACTCGGAATCTCATTACAGGTCGTGCCAATTGAAGGAAACCGAACTGATTCGAAAAAATTCTTGGAAAACAGTAAGTAGCTGGCATCTAGTTTCAAATACTTTTTAACCAGGCCAAGAAAAATAGTAGTGTTATTCGTAAAAGAAATGCATAATTTTGTATTTGTTGAAATTGTGCTACTCTGTATTTCAATCATGAAAACTACGTGTGGGGAACCGCAATGCGGTTACCGCAATATTAATAATAATGGATTATCAAGCATTATACAAAAGTAGAATCAATGAAAAATTTAATAATGTGTACATTACATGAAATAATATTCATAATCTCAAACATTTCGCATGCATTTTACGAGAATCAGCAAAAATTTACAACATCACGTAAACTTTTTAGTGCGTAAAAGCGTAAAATATATGAGAATTGTTTGAGATATTGGGTTTTTATCAAATTCAACCAAATTCGTCAAATAAACAATATATTTCTTGGCAAAATATTGTTTAAAGCAGATAACGTGCGCACAATTTGATTAGTTTAATATCTCGAAAATTCTTTGCTATGATGAAATTTATTTTAAAAAAAAGTTTATGAATATTTTTTCCCAGCTTTTTTCTATCCGATGTAAAGTTGTAGTTAATTTTATCTATATGGAAACATTATTGAGAAATATACACTAACACATCGTGCTTACTGCATGCTTAAATTTCAACCAAAAATCTTCAATCATCGGCGCATGAACTCTTTTATTAAACTGATCTATAGATTTTTGGTGGTTATAAAAAAGAAAATCAAGTTAATTTCCTGATAATTTATATGATTTACATGAATGGAATGTTACTTTTGTTAATTTGCAGTTTGTTCGGTCTATACGGAGGCAGTGAAGAACAATATGCCACCACATATTATTTTCGATACGACTATAACAAATGTTGCGAGCGAGACGGTGAAATCCTTAACATCGGCTTTAGGTATACCGACAGTGAGTGCTTCATTTGGTCAAGAAGGCGATATTCGGCAATGGCGTGACCTTACCGACCAAAAACGCCAATATTTATTGCAAGTGATGCCACCAGCTGATATTATTCCCGAAGTCATTCGATCGATAATTATCTACATGAACATTACAAATGCCGCCATTCTCTATGACGAATCTTTTGGTAAGTTTAGAAGCCAAATTTCTATGTTGGCATTTTAAGTAAAAAAGCCAATATAAAAAAGCCAAGAATGTATATAAAACTGATATATCATGTACTCACTGGGTAAATACGACCAAAATTAGTTCGCATGCAATTTAAATGAACGCTAACCATTTCGATTAGAGTAAACATAATCAAATGCACAATGATTTTGAAATGTAAAAAAAGCGTGCACACGAACTAACATTGATCAAATTACATTAGTTGAATAACGATACAAAAAAAAGGAAATCAAGTTTACCACGAATTCATGTTCAACGAATATAAAATCGATATCTGATTAATGGAAGCATGTTATGTTGAACAACGACGACGACAAAAGCAATAAATGGAAGCACATCAAAATATAATTGAAATGTAAATAAAACAAATAACTAAGTAGGTGATGCGCGACATTAAATATTGAGGGACACAAATTGTGCGGGAGGGACGAGGGTGGTCACCAATCGAATAAAACGAATCCATCGCGTTCACAAATAATAACAAGAATTATGTCAATTCGAAAAGCATTAAATTATTGATTTTTATTTGATTATGCAACAGTTATGGATCACAAGTACAAAGCGTTGCTACAGAACATACCAACACGTCACGTTATCACAGCCATAGCAAAACCAGCCGACAGACCTCATCAGATTGCAAAACTGCGAAATCTTGACATAAATAATTTCTTTGTTTTGGGAAGCTTACAATCAATCCAAGATGTATTGGACTCCGCGCGAGACGAATATTTTCAACGGAACTTCGCTTGGCATGCCATCACCCAATACAGCGGCGAATTGACTTGTAATTGTAAAAATGCCACAATCATCTTCTTAAAACCGGTCCCTGATCAAATGGCAAAGGAACGACTGGGATTAATGGTAAATTGTGTTTACTTTCGTCATTTGAAAATTAATCAATATTTATTTTCATTAACAATCTTCGAAATCCATCACAATTTCTAACCATTTTTTTCACAAAGAAAACCACGTACAATTTGAAAAAAGAACCAGAAATCTTATCAGCCTTTTACTTTGATTTGGCCTTACGGACCTTTCTCGCCGTTAAGTAAGTGTATTAAATAAATCTTCCGTATTGACCAATTATCATTAAAACAATAAAAACACCTCGAATTCAAATTCAAGGGAAATGTTATTAACCGGAACATGGCCAACAAACATGCATTATTTGACTTGCGATGACTATGATGGAACAAACACACCCGATCGAGCCATTGATTTGAAATCATTCTTTGTCAATGTTAAAGGTATGAAAGTATTGATTTTAGATTCAATCACTGTAATTTCCGTATAAGAGCAACAAATCAATAATCTATTTCATATAAATACAGTTTTGTTTGAGTGTAAAACGGCAAATATTTCAAAATTTACGTCATCAAGACTTACAAATATTTGAACTTTTATTCACTAGCCAAAATATGACTTATTCATAATACTTCTGAGCCCCTATTTATTAATATTTCTTATATTTTTGTTAATAATCCATCGATAAGAGCCGGCGACTTATGGAAACTTTAGTTTTCCATCTGGAAATACGCCATTCAATGGTCACAGCATGATGAAATTCGATATGGAGATCAATGTGGTGTCGGTCCAAGGTGGAGCTTCGGTCAGCACTAAAAATCTAGGCAATTGGACGGCCGGTCTGACCAATCCCATTGTTGTTAAGTCGTCTGATGACATGAAGAACTTCACCGCCGCTATTGTTTATCGTGTTTACACCGTTGTGGTTAGTACATTGTCTGACTTGAAAAACCAATATTTTATATGAACAAAATCTAGTCATCATAGTGTTTAGTCATCTTAGTTTATTTTGTACAATGTTTATGTTATTCTCAGCAACCCCCATTCATAATGCGTGACGAGACATCGGAAAAAGGATTCAAAGGCTACTGCATTGATTTACTCGACGAAATTGCCAATTTGGTTAAATTTGAGTATACAATACAAGAGGTTGAGGATAAAAAATTCGGCAATATGGATGAAAATGGTGAATGGAATGGTATCGTACGAAAACTAATCGACAAACAGGCTGACATCGGTCTTGGTTCCATGTCTGTGATGGCTGAACGTGAGACAGTTATCGACTTTACGGTTCCTTACTACGATTTAGTTGGCATAACAATAATGATGCAATTACCAAGCACACCAAGTTCGCTTTTCAAATTTTTGACCGTATTGGAAACAGGTACATTTCCGTTAACAATTTTAATGCATTTTTTAAAATTTAATTTATTATTTACTTTCAAGATGTGTGGCTGTGTATTCTAGGCGCCTACTTCTTTACAAGGTTTGAAATATGGATTTTTTTTTTCGTTTTACATATTCTCAATTTTGAATGCATTTCGATATTTCCATTTAGTTTTTTGATGTATGTTTTTGACCGGTGGTCACCATACAGTTATCAAAACAATCGCGATAAATATGCCGATGATGATGAAAAACGTGAATTCAACATGAAAGAATGCTTGTGGTTTTGCATGACTTCTTTGACTCCACAGGTAATAACATCATTTGATCAAACACACTCCATTTGATTAATTTATTTTTGATTTTACATCTAGGGAGGCGGTGAAGCACCAAAAAGTGAGTATCTTCTCTTGTAGTCGACTTTGAAAATACGGGCCAATTTCAATTTTTTTCTTCTCCATAATCAGATCTATCTGGAAGATTGGTTGCAGCGACCTGGTGGCTTTTTGGGTAATTCCACTACAATCAATTCGATTCAAAGATCTTAAAATTCTTTCTTTTCAAAATGATAAATTCAATTTTGTAATAATAAATATTTTGATATCGATCCATAGATTTATAATCATTGCATCGTACACCGCAAATTTGGCAGCCTTCCTGACTGTGAGTCGCTTGGATACACCTGTGGAAAGTCTCGATGACCTGGCAAAACAATACAAAATCTTATATGCACCTCTAAACGGTTTGTATCCCTTTTAGCCTCAAATCCAATGAGTTTCGTTCACTTATGTGTGCTTATCAATTCTTCTGCACTACCAGGTTCTGCGGCTATGACTTATTTCCAACGTATGTCACAAATTGAGGGTCGTTTCTATGAAATCTGGAAGGACATGTCGTTGAATGACTCACTAAGCCCCGTCGAACGATCAAAATTGGCTGTTTGGGACTATCCTGTCAGCGACAAATACACCAAAATGTGGCAGGCAATGCAGGAGGCCGGGTTACCAAATACTCTGGAAGAAGCTGTTTCCAGAGTTCGAAATTCAACAACGGCCACTGGATTTGCATTCATTGGGGACGCAACTGATATTCGCTACCTGGAAATGACAAATTGTGACTTACAGGTCGTGGGCGAAGAGTTTTCAAGGAAACCTTATGCAATAGCTGTTCAACAAGGCTCCCCACTCAAAGATCAATTCAATAATGCGTACGTATTTTGTCTTTCAAAAAACCAATAAAAAAATTAAAAACTAATTGAAATTTCATCTTATGCCACTCGTCATAGAATTCTTCAATTGCTGAACAAGAGGTATCTGGAGAAGCTGAAGGAGGATTGGTGGAAGAATAAGAAACAATGTGAAAAGGTCGAAGATCAATCGGATGGTATTTCAATTCAGAATATTGGCGGTGTGTTCATTGTGATCTTTGTTGGCATTGGAATGGCTTGTGTTACTTTAGTATTTGAATACTGGTGGTACAAGTATCGCAAAATCACACCAAAGATTACAAATGTCACTGAATCATCGTCGAATAATGTTAACAAACTTGAGAAGAAGGAAGGCGGCTTCATTCGCAGCAAAGAATCGATGGACGTGAAAAATGTACTTCGTACAAGACTCACGAGTCAGTCAAAAAATGAACCAAAATTTTAAATATAAAAAAAAGAAAAGCATCATGGATTCTTGAATCAAGTCCTATGATTTTGCCGAATGATGGAAATTAGTTTTGAGAAAATTAAAAATAGATTTTAGTTTGCTAGCAACATTTCAGCAGAGCCTTAAGAAAGCCTTTTGAACGAAAATCAATAATCAAAATAATTTTCAATGAAATCAATTTTTTTTGTGAAAAATGCACAATTTACGTGAGTCTAACGCACAATTTGGCGTGCAATAATTGTATAGTGTGAACAAAAAAAATAATGCACACATTTAAACTGTGTTTATGGTTTGTAATTTTGTTTGGAATAAAAATCATCATTATCAATGCAAAGGATATACGAAAGGATATATTTATAAATTATATATATATTCTCTTTTGTAGTTTATACAGGGAAAGTTGTCTGGACATTTTACTAGTGTGTTCTTGAAAATAAATGTAATCATTCAAAAAAATAGCGCTCATTTTGTTTCATTTTGAAGGAAGAATTACTGCATTGCCAATATGTAACTAACACACCATATTATAGAGTGACATTGAATCATATTTCAATTATACCATTCTCTGAGTCAGAGTGTCGAACTCTCAATTGCATGCTAGATAATCAGATCATAATTGAAATCGAACATCGTTTTATGGTTGACATTATTTATTAAAAATAATAATTCAGCCCTATATTTATGCTGGGATACTAGGTTCAATAAAACTGTGACACACTCAACTTATTAGTACGTTTTGTTTTTTTTTATTCGTGCTATAACTTACATTTCATGAAAACATGTAAGTGATAAATGTGCATATTTGTTTTGATTATCTAGGGATTTATTCAACACGCACACTTGTGCTAGCAGTGAAAACTCTCGCAGGAATAAAATTGTTGGTTCGCGTTTCATGTTCAAAATAATTCTAATCGAATCAGATCTTCATTTATGATCTAAATTCCATAATTTCAGTTGATAATAAGAGACCTTAGCTGTCGGAAGCCAAATTTTAACATTGTCCAAATTACAGAATATCAAGAATCACATTTTTTCTTTGTTCTTGTGTTAAATTATCAAGAATCACATTTTGTTTAGCAAATAAAAGAACCAGAAAAAAACGTAGTTTAAAATGATTTTTCCATCACGAGTGCGGTTTAAACTTGAGATTTTTCTTGTTGTTTTCCTATTTTCTCACTGTTTTGCACAAAAAACTCCAAAAATTAATATGCGTAAGTGTTTAAATGGCTTAAAGTTAATTGTGATTCAAGTTAAAAATTCCATATTTGAATAAATGATAATAAAAAATTAAATCCAAATTACAAAAATACATGAACTGTTTCTCCCCGCACCTCAAAAAGTGTTCGTCAATGAGGATGTGAATGTGGAAGCTAGTAAGAATGTACAAATTGCTCTAAACTATATAGCCGAAAATCCAGACAATCGTCCAAAATTTAATTTTTCGGTAAATTTGAAGCAAGTTTCTGGAAATCGATCAGAGCCAAAGGAATTTTTGAAAAAATGTAAGTAAAGTTTTGAAAACTAGTGTTAAGGGACGGTGAAAGATGATTATTATTTTTATTCGAAAACTGGTTTTCTCTCTATTACTAAGTTAACCTTCCAAAATACATAATAGTTCAATATATCTGCGAAAACCAATTCTTTGTCTAACGCAAAATCTATCAAAAAACGGATCATATTTTTGTAATTTTATATTCAATGACAATTTTCGAATTTTTTTTATTGAACCCTCAAAAATAATTTTCTTCTTTAAAAAGTGTGTGACGTTTACACGATATCGGTTGAAAATGGTGAACAGCCACACATTATCCTTGGTATGTACAATCAAAATTGATTACAATTGATAAATTTTTTTCTTATGATATTCTCTAGGATATTCTAATTCAATAAATGGGTGTAATTTTATTAAAAATATCAATTATTATTTCATTTTTTGTTTGTGAAAAAATATAAAATATAAGATACAACGATGTCTCCTGTCATATCTGAAATTGTAAAGTCTTTTACATCGGTGCTGGCTCTTCCGACAATAAGTGGTTCATTTGGCCAAGTTGGCGATATTCAACAATGGAATAATATAGACGAGGTAAAGCGTCGCTATCTACTGCAAGTTATGCCTCCATCCGATATAATACCTGAAGTTATTCGATCGATAATTACCTACACGAATATGACCAACGCTGGCATTCTATTCGACAAAACGTTTGGTAAGTCGTAATTTGTGATGTGTTAAACACCATGCTAGAGTTTATAAAATCAATAAAATCCTATGTGGAGTTCTAATGATATACCATAAATGATGCCAAAGTAAATAAACTAATAATGCGCATTGCGCATTGCGCATTGAATAGCAAATAATAAAACTTATTTATGTTGTATGTTACGCAGTTATGGATCATAAATACAAAAAGCTCTTGGAAAAATTACCAGTGAGACATATAATTGCCGAATTTAGCTCTGCTGAACAAATCGCAATACTGCGCAAGCTGGACATTACCAACTTCTTTGTTTTGGGGAAATTGGAATCGATTAAAATGGTTTTCGGTAGCTAATTTTCGAGAGAAAAAAAATGGTTAAGGGTCCTTATCATGTTATGATCATTTTTAGAAACGGTACCGGCTGATTACTTTGAACGGAATTTCGCATGGCACGTAATAACACAAGATTTTGGCAATATCTCTGCATGCTGTACAAACTTCAACGTAACATTGATCAGGCCAAAATCTTACAGCATACTGGACAATAGCCACATTCAAATGGCGGTATTTTTTTTCCATAGAAATTAAAACTTGACATGTTAACCATGGACTTCATTACAGATGACGAACACAAAACAAAACATTAATATTGCGTCGATGTTTTACTTTGATCTCACCTTACGGACTCTTTTGACTGTCAAGTAAGCCACTTTTGAAAATAAAAATGCATCGCAAAACTCCAATACAAACAATTCATTTTAAAGAAACATGTTAGCGACGAATAAATGGCCCCTAATGGAATATATCACCTGCAACAGTTACAGTGGATCAAATACACCTCAGAGATCTCTTCTCGACTTGAAATCGTCTTTCATTAATAATTCGGAGCCAGCTTCATATGGATCATTCTCTTTTGCTGATGATAATACAGCTTTCAATGGAAATAGCACCATTAAATTTGATATGGACATTTTGTCGGTTACAATTCAGGATGGAGTAGCAAGAGAAAAGATCGTTGGGAATTGGACATCTGGTTTTGGAATGCCGCTGGTGATCAAATCAAATGAACATTTGGAAAAACCAAAAAGAATCTATCGCGTCTGTATTGCTTTGGTAAATTTGGCAGAACACTTACTTTTTAATCAACTGAAAATGAATTTTGTTAAACAACTTTCATATTCCACAGAAAGCCCCTTTTGTTATGCGCGATGAATCCGCGCCTCGAGGTTATAGCGGCTTTGACATTGACTTGATGGACGAAATCGCGAGAATGGCGAATTTCAACTATACGATCATTGAGGCTGACGGACATGGAATGATGAACGATTCTGGCGTATGGAATGGGGTAGTGAGAAAATTGCTGGACAGAGATGCTGACATTGGTCTTGGAACCATGCAAATTATGGCTGAACGTGAAAGTGTCATTGATTTCAGTGTGCCCTACTATGATTTGGTTGGATTTACCGTTTTAATGGCCATACCAAAATCAAAGAATACATTATTCAAATTTTTATCGGTGCTTGAGAATGACGTTTGGTTCTGTATTCTAGCAGCCTATTTCTTCACAAGGTAAAAAGAACAGATGATTGTCCGGAAATTAATATGTGACATGTCCTGATATTTCATTAAAGTGTAATCTTAATATTTATATGGTGGTGTTAAGATTCACTCTCGAGATTTCAAGTATTTTTCACTTTGTACATATTTGACATTTTCACATTTGTTTCGATATTTCCATTTAGTTTTTTGATGTATGTTTTTGACCGGTGGTCACCATACAGTTATCAAAACAATCGCGAGAAATATGCGGATGATGATGAAAAACGTGAGTTCACAATGAGAGAATGTCTTTGGTTCTGCATGACTTCGCTTACGCCACAGGTAAATCTCGATCGCTTTTAAATTATTCATTTTTTTTTGTAAATTATTCATTTTTTTTTGTAAAATCAATAAAATATTAACTCAATTAATTAGGGAGGTGGAGAAGCGCCAAAAAGTAAGCTATTTTAGACGTGTATATTGTAGAAAAACTAATACTTTTTCAAATTTAAGATCTATCTGGAAGATTGGTTGCAGCAACATGGTGGCTTTTTGGGTAAATTATTGAGGCTACTCATCAACGTTTCATTTAAACAATAATCCGTTTAAATGTCTCTTACAGCTTCATTGTGATTGCATCCTATACCGCGAATTTGGCGGCTTTCTTGACTGTCTCGCGCATGGAAGTACCAATTGAAAGCTTGGAGGGTTTGTCAAAGCAATTTAAAGTCTTATATGCACCAATAAATGGTTCGCAAGCGATGCATTTTTTTCAGCGAATGGCCGAAATTGAGGGACGTTTCTATGAAATGTGGAAAGGTAACAAAAGTGTGCACTTGATTTGGTGATTACTGCTTCGTTTTGTATTTTTATAGATATGTCATTGAATGACTCACTAAGCCCCGTCGAACGATCAAAATTGGCTGTTTGGGATTATCCGGTGAGTGATAAATTTACAAAGATGTGGCAAGCAATGCAGGAAGCCGGACTGCCAAATTCTCTGGAAGAGGCTGTTGCAAGGATTCGAAATGAATCGAATAGTCAATTTGCTCTTGTTGACGATGCCACTGATATTCATTACATCGAAAAGTTAAGCTGCGAATTTAAAATCGTTGGCAATCAATTCTCCCAGAAATCGTACGGCATAGCTGTTCAGAGGGGAAGCCCACTCAAAGGAGACATTGATGCTGCGTAAGTTTTTCGCTTTTTATTTTCAATATATCGTCACTGGAAGGTTTTTTTCATTCGATTTTTAGACTGCTAAGGCTATTGAATGGCAGGTTTATGGAAAAATTGAAGGAAGAATGGGTTTTGAAGAAAATAAAGTGCCCGAAAGTTGAAGATCAACAAGATGGTATTGCTATTTCAAACATTGGCGGCGTGTTCATTGTGATTTTGATGGGAATCGTATTAGCCATTTTTACTCTGATTTTCGAGTATTGGTGGTTTAAATACCGCTATCATCCACCAAAAATAATCAATGTTGCCGAATATGTCACACCACGTGTACATTCGACAGCACAGGGACCATCAGGATTATTCAATAATCAAAAAAAATATGAAACAAGATTTCGCCACAACTCACATTCAAATTGCTGATGAAATAGCACCGTAATAACTGATTTTTTGGATTCGATTGGAGTTTCTACACACAAAACGAGAATATTTTGAACATGTATTTTTGCACTGTGTTTAGGGCACATATGACAGAGAAAATGTGTGATTTCCATGCATCTCTGTATGTTTTAAAATAAGCTTTGATTTTCTGTTTTTTGGAAACGTAATTTGTGAAAAAAAAAATATAATACTGCAGTAGTATTACTGCTTGATAATTTGAATAAAACTCAAATGTGCTCCAAAATTGCTTTTTTTCTATTTATTTGATTTTCCCGTTAAAAACGTTCATTCACTATAATATTCAAACTACTGAGTTGCAGGAAGTAAGTATTATTTTATTGTAATTCAACACTTTGAACTGAAATTTGCTTGCGCAGCTCATTACAAAACTTGCACGAGCTTTGATTTCATCACACACTTGAGTGTACTTGCTTATTCTAAATGTGAGTTTTTTTTAAACATTTTTCGTACGATTTTTTCTATTACTCACGTTCAACGGTTCTGAGATGTCCTTATCATTTTTTGGTCGATTTTTACATAAAAATTAAGATTGTATTGTGAATAAGCTAATTTATGTTTACGACGTTTAATAACGTAGAAGATAAGAAAAACATGTACAAATCAATTTCACTGATATATTTACTTCCTCCAGTTGCGAGTGAACCGCTTAAAGATTAGTTGTGTCATAGATTTCGGTGGTGAATTGTTCCAATAATTTTTTGTACGCCGATCAATTTATTTTAATCGCTTCGTTTAAAATTTCAGTCAATTTGACAGAAAAATAAGAAGTTATCTTTTACTTTAAGATAATATTTTTAATAATGATCAATTCAGAAGAGAAGACTGTCAATGGTAAGAAATGAAATTGATTCAAATAAATATGCTGATTTTTCATTTAAATTAATTTTAATACAAACAAATCCAAGTGCAGTGATTTCTCTGAAGAAATGTTCGAAGAAAATTAATTGTATGAGTTTGTTATCAATATATTACCATCCAAAGTATTTATTAGTCCCGAATATTGTAAAAAAATCATTAAGATTATTAAAAAGTGTATTTGCTTTATATAATTTGAATGAGTGAGTTCAAATTTCGAAGAAAGCAAAACGCTAACATATATTTTGTATGCAGTTGTGAAAAATTAAAAAAATCGTGTTGCTCTTTCATTGGGATTTGAGTTCACTTTAATTCTCACCCATTCATTTTGATCTTAAATTTTAGATACAATTAAACCCTGTAATGGATCAAAGACACTTTCAAATGCCGAACCGGAGAAATATTCATATCCAAAACGTGTATTTCTTATCTTTGGAAGCGAATTCTGTGAACGCTTCAATCTTTATGGTTTCAAAAGTGAGCGATAACTTAATTGTTTTGTTAAGATTAAATTCAAATCTATTTTCTGAAACCAGATAATATATTTAGCTGCCGTCATCTGGATATTTGAACTCATCTGGATATCGTCAGCAGATGATGCGAATTGAAAACAATAGAAGTGATTGTTATAGTAATACCAGTATATAACAAGCTTATATACCTACAACAATCGCTTCTATTGTTTTCACTTCGTATCATCTGCTGACGGCATCCAGATGAGATGAAATATCCAGATGACGGCAGCTGAATATATGAATGGGGTAGAATAAAAACTACTTCTCGAAAAATGTTTAAACACGAAACCTAAAAAAAACTTTCAATGAAAAGTGAATCAATTTTTTTTCGTCCAATTGAAGTGAACCAAAAAAATTTTGTTCAATAAAAGTGAACCCAAAAAAAAATTCATTTTAGTGTATTTTACACTGAAAAAACCGAGTGAAATTTTTTTTTGGTTCACTTTTATTGAACAAAATTTTCTTGATTCACTTCAATTGGACAAAAAAAAATTGATTCACTTTTTATTGAAATTTTTTTTAGGTTTCGTTTTAAAAAAGCAATTTTTCGAGAAGTAGTTTTTATTCTACCCCATTCATATTGTCTGTCTGAAACATTTCTGATTTATGTTCTCTAGCAATTTTGGTTTTTTATTTGACTTATAAACTGGGATATACTGCAAATGATGCGAGTGTAGTCTTCCACGTATTTACTGCCGCGATGTTTTCTACAACTATGTTTGGCGGCATCCTCTCTGACGTATGGTTGGGAAAATTTAATACCATTTTATATTTATCGTTGCTCTATTTAATGGGAAGTATCATTATTTCAATCGGAGCCGTTCCATTTATTGACTTCTCACCAAACATCGCTCTCATGATTGGCTTAGTTTTGATTGCCATCGGAGCTGGTGGCATTAAACCGTGCGTTGCAGCTTTTGGTGCTGACCAATTCAAAATGCCAGAACAAGCACACCAAATTGCCCCATATTTTTCATTGTTTTACTTCACAATGAATGCTGGTGCTAGCCTTTCCACTGTCATTACTCCACTTCTGAGAGCAAACGTGCATTGTTTTGGAGATAATGATTGTTATTCACTTGCTTTCGGAGTTCCTGCTGTTTTAATGATTATTTCCATCGGTAAAATATTCGTTATTTTAAGCAGATTTTCATTCAGTGCTGCTGCCATCCAGAGAATAAAAATATATCTTGTTGAGAATGGGACATTTCAATTGTGTGACATCAATAATTTGTCTTTTTGATGTGGTGTTAACACGTGAACTACCAAAATAGAACTCTATATTTAGGCCACCACCACGACAAATTGTTATGCTCTGGATGGCGGCTTTGATTTTTAGCGCATCTATAAAATAAGTTACAATGTCTTCCTTTTTTGCAGTATTTTTTGTGATAGGTAAATCGTCGTACACTCATGTCAAAACATCATCAGAAAATATGATAATTCGCATGTACAAATGCACAAAGGTAGATAAAGTGTGTTTTTGATATGGTCATTACTACTTCATTTCGTATTTTTATAGCATGCGATTTCCGCCAGAAGACGCGAAAAAGGAGATAAATCACATAAAAATCTACTTGATTACTCTATAGACAAGTATGGAGCTGAATTCATTGACGATATAAGGATCCTCTTGCAGATTTTGGTACTCTATTTGCCGTTTCCTATCTTTCATGCGTTGCTCGATCAAATTGGATCTCGATGGAGTCTTCAAGCCAGCAATATGAATGGTGATCTTGGGTTTTACACCATAGAACCAGATCAAATGCAAATGTTGGACGCACTTATGTGCCTAACGTTTGTTCCATTGTTCGATACCATACTTTATCCAATAATGGGTAAAATCGGTATTCGACAACCAATTCATAAAATAATAATTGGTGGAATTTTGATTGGATGTTCGTTCTTGCTCGCCGCATTTCTCGAATTTTCTATTGTTAGGTCACCTGAACATTCGATAAATATGTTGTGGCAAATACCACAGTATGTAATTTTGACGTTGGGTGAAGTTATGTTTTCGGTAACCGGATTAGCATTTTCTTATGACCAAGCACCTGCAAGTATGAAATCTGTCGTACAAGCATTTTGGCTTTTAACTATTGCATTTGGTAATGTTGTTTTTGTGGCTGTAATCAAAATGAAAATTGTTGAAACACAAACATTTGAATTCATTCTATTTGCTGCTTTAATGTTTATTGCACTTTTTATACTTGCGATTTTGGGCAATTTCAATAGAAACATTTCACAAAAAGCTAATGCAAGCAATGTTCACGAATGTGAAAGTATCGAAACAATCAGTATAAAAAAATAGACAAAAAATAAAAAAAACGTAATTTGTGCGAAAATTATAATACTGCTTGAAAATTTAAATAAAACTCCAATGTATTCCAAAATTGCATTTGCTTTTTATTTGATTTTTCTGTTATAAAAAATAATAATTCACTCATATTTATGGGATATTATTCTTATATATACAATGTTTATGAAGCTCCCATATATACAAATATTGTACTACCAAGTATTTTAATTAGTTACGTCAGAAAATTGCGTTCAATCCATCGGTTATTTCACTATTACCATAGTGTGCTTCAGTTAATATTAGCCATTTATGCATTATTGTAATTGCTTCGTGCTTTGCACATAGTTTGTGCGTTAATATTTTTCAAGCGAACATAATTCTCGAACAAAACTGTAACTTGATACTTAATATCCATTTGCACCGAGTTGTTTTCGTATTGTTTCGAACGATAGCCAGAAGGTGAGTGACCACGGTGCCTATTCAAAATAAAACCAAAAAATAATTAATAATAGCGAAACTAGTGATATTTGTTCACTGCGTAACAACTTCACTTACCATTCTAATCCACACTGGAAGAAAACCTTTGTACAATGCGAAAAATCCCTCTTTACTAACTGTTTGTCTAAAGCAATCTAATGAGTTTTTATACAAGAGACCCCTAAAATTATATAATAAATATGAAATTATTGAAATAAGGTTAGAAAAAACTCAATATACACACCGTCCCATCTCATCGGTTGGTTGATTCATAATTCGTGTTTTGACGACATCAGCCGGTGTGCCCATGGTTGCCGCAACTAAACCAGCCATTATTGATGCCATTATGTGTACAGTATGGCAGTCTGGTAACTTTGTCTTATTCATAATATTTCGCTTAGCAAAATCGTACGTGGTTAAGTCTCCTAAATTGACAAGCGCCGCTCGATACACATTTGGTATGCTACCTTTCCATAATGCTTTTACACCGCCTCGGTGTAGAATCTGTTTTAGCGCATCTGATGCACCGTGAACACGAGGCTTCAGACCCATTAAACGTCGTCTGCCCTCCATTTGCACATGAACTTTGACTAAGTCAGCAGGCGAGGCCATCCATTGAGCAATACCACCCGCTGTAATACCGCACAGTGCTGCCTCCCACAATGGCAGTCCCGAATGATCTTCGGACACATCCAAGTTCTTTCTCATTCGATCATAAATGGCAATACGAACACCACTATAGACAACATGGCGATAGAGTGCAGGCGTTACGCCTTGCCATAATTTCGTTGCACCTTCCTCGCGAACGATGCCACAAGCAGTGGCAACCATTCCTCTGTATTGAATCTAATCGGGTTAAAATCAAAACATTAGAATGTGAGGAAAAGGTAGTTAATGTCAATGTTCAACACTGACCTTTTTTGCTGCGGCTAACCCATTTCCATTCAATTTACTTCCTTCTCCCTGTATCTGTAGACGCGTTTTTGTTAAGTCAAGTGGATATGTTGCTGATTTGAAATATAAACAAAGACATGATAAGCGATTGATTTTCATTTAAATCCATGTGCTCATTATCATTTGTCGACTTACCCAATTCAGCGATATTGGCCGAAACAACTGATATGATGTACGTACACCAAAATGTGTCCGCATAGTGATATTTAACGGGTCGCATTTCATTTCGTGAAATGGATGGTGGCGCAGCAGTTGCTAATGGTGCAGGCATTTTGATGTGTTAACCTAATGTGGTAAAACCGTCAAAATGAATTGATCAATTGATTGCCGTGTTCGTTTCGTTTCAAATGTGCGACTTTTGATGAATAGATGATGGCAACAAAACTAACAGCAACAACGATGATATTTGTTTTTATGAATTGTTTTTTGTTTTTCAAAGTCAATTAAATGGATTGCCAATAAGCATGCACATAATTCATGATGATGTAAATGCTAGAACACATACTCCTACGTCAAACATTCGATTATCTGCCAAGAAATTGAACAAAAGTAAAAAAATATAAAAGAACTAAAGAAAACTATAAATAGAAAGTGTTTAATTTTTTTTTTAGTTTTTTTTTTTTTGAATATTAAACAATTTCACAAATAAATCATATCCTTTCATCACTATTTGATCAACGATCATTTACATAATTACTTGGTTTTTGAAAATGCACAAGAAATTCGACGAATGAAAAATACGTAGTATACATGTATTAACTATATGCGGAAATATATCGACAGCTTGGCACGTGAAATGCTAGCGATTAATTGAAACGAATTCGTCCTCTTCAAAAGGTTAAACGGCTCATATAAAGCGAACACTTCAATCAATTTTACTGTGATTTCTAGCACTTCGTGAACAATTAAAACTAATAAAATTCCACATTTTTTCTTTATACGCGCTATTTGAGATGACAGAACGAATGGTTTTTCTAAAAAAAAAATCGTTCCGTAATCTTGATTTCTTTATCGGAGATAATTTTGCGAATTTCCGATTAGACTCATTTATTTTTTTTTATTATTGACAACATCATAAATGACGGTATTACTATTTATTCACGATATAAAATGTTCAACCTTTAACCAAGTCGTTCAACTGAAACAGTGTCACGCACAATACCGAACCAAATGCATACAACAAACGCACTTCAAACGAGACCATACTTTGTACCCAGACAGACAGCAGACACCAGACGGTCGAACAGACACAAACATATACAAAATGTTTTTTTCCATACTATATAAACATTTACTCACAAATAAGATTCAAAAAAAAAACGATGATGATTTTTATGCAAAATAAAAGAAATTTTTCGATATATCACAAAATTGGTTGCTTCACATGTCAGTTATTGTGAAATTGAAATTGATGGGAAAGTCTGGTTTCTATATAAATTTCTTTTATGTTATCGATGCTCATGCACGTTTTATGTAATGCGTTGCTTAATATGTACTGATTACTGGGCCCTTTATTGTTTTGATTATTTCAATACAGTATTCCAATGTGTTGACATTTCGATACCGCACACCGAACTGTCAAATTGTACTATTTTGACAGCTGGAAAATGAGCACGTTTAAATCACATACACACATTTCTCGTACAGAGTTCACTTCGCGCTATTTGTATGTTTTGTCTGTGTGTTTTATTTTTGTTTCTTTGTCAATTTGTGCGATTTCTATTTGATATTAATTTCAATTTTCATTTGTTTTGCAACAATGTAAATCGGTTGCTTTTTTTGTGTTTTATTGATTGAAAATAAATAAACGGGAGATAAGCATTCGCATCGAAAATGTCAAAGAGGATGGGTTTTCAATTTCGCCAGCCGCGATCCAAAATGCCAAAATTGGACATTACGATCCAGTCAAGTCAACGGATCACAGCTGGCCCATCAAATATGAATCCTCAACGTGACATTGTGGCAGAAACACCAACTCAACCGGACGGTAATTGGAGTGATGAAGAGGAATTTTTTGTATTGTCCTCACAAGCGGCCGATATGGTTCATACGTCTGCATCGGTTGTCATCTCACAATCAATGAACAGTCTTGCAAATCATGATATGAGCTATACACGATTCAGGCAAGAAGTACGAACCGTACACAGTACACAAATAAATCCGATCAAAGAGGTATTAAATGATGATGATGACGATTTGTTTTCAAACATTGACGAACCCATTCCGAATGCCATTCAAGCGGCACCAAACGCCGAGACGCCCAAGACCAATGGTCAAAATGTACAAAATCAACAATTTAGTCAAAATTTCAATCGACCATCGACATCAACGTCAACGGTTAATAATAAATTGAAAGAACAATCGGAAAAAATCCAGTGTCAATATTATGCGGAAAAGATAAAAGCACAAAAGAAACAAATTGAAACGTTGCGAGAGACATTGAATAAAGTTAATCAAAAGTGTACGACGAAGGAAGGAGAGTCATCGACGCTTCGATATGAGGTCGACTCAAAATCCCGAGATATTGAACGTCTTCGCAAAGAAAAAATGGACGAGGCCGTACAAATGGAAAAGAAATACTCGGAAAAAATAACCGCATTAGAAAAGAAAATTGAAGAGCAACGGTCAGAACTTGAATTTAAGGTAAATTGGATTTTATTTTAATGTGGATTCAGCGGTGGATGTTAAATAGAAATTTACATTTTCAGAATATTGAAATTTTGAATAAAAAGTCCAGAAGATCGCTAAACGATTCAGTTATGACAACGGAACCAGAGACGAGCTGGTCCATTGTTGAACTGCACCATCTATTCAAACTGCATACGAATCATATTGAACCAGCAGGTGAAAACATTTATTGCCTATTTATATTTGTCTCCATTTAAATTAATTTCAAATCAACATTTCCAATTTTAGCACCTGAAAATATCCCGGCTGCCGATTTTATAGCTGCGAAAGGTGTTGAAAAATATTGCGGCCTCACTGAGCGTGATTTTGATACATTAAAATGTCTTAACGCCCTACAATCAATATACAATGGAGCCAAACGGAGGAGAATGCGTGTGCTTGACACCGATTCCGTCAAAGAGATCATTAGTATTACAAATGCATTTATTTATGCGATGAAGTCGTATGCAAATCGATTGTGTCTGCGCGTACCAACCAAATACGATGCAGGACTAGAAGCCAAATTGATTTCTGATGAAATGGCCAAACCAACGGCCAATTTAATTGACGACAAATTGATTTATGAAAGACAAATATTGGCAGTGATTTCACTTTTGTGTACGGATTTTTCGAATGTCACTGAAATTATTTTATTCGAAAAATGCGAAGACCAGGAAACGAACACTGACGACGACGACGAAATGGATGTTGAAAATCGAGCTGGGTCATTCGTTGACATTTTGACAGATGTTCTTTTTAAAATTGGACTTTCGGTAAGCAGAGAATACACATGTTTTGAGTTAAATGAAATGGCCGCATAGAAACTAAAATAGATTTAAACCTTAACAAACCATGGCTCTTGTTTCCATGCAAAATTCAAAAAACGCTACTCGTTCTCACTTCAGAATCATTAATTTAAATTATTTTTGTTTACTAGAAAACTCTGTCGCTACACAAAACGCTCATCGAATCGACGTCACTGTTGCTGTTGGCATTGGCAAAAACCTATTCTCCCAGCAAATCGGGCGATTTACTTCTTTTGAATTTATTTCGTTTAATTGTATTTTGTGAACCAGATTTACAGTCGCTCAATCATTTATCGGAGTTTCTAGAGCTTATCTCCGACTATGAATTGTGTAATATTTGCAGTCGATTTTGTAACGATACAAGCACCAACGTTATGTCTATGCAACGATATTGTATCAATCGATTTGACATTGAAACTTGTCCGCTTCAAGTATTTTCGTGCATCTTACAAATCTCATTTCAACCGTACTCCAACAATCGATCGACATTGGATCACACAAATAAGGTGCATACGGTGGCTAAGATCACGATTCACATGATTAAGTTCTTAAGGAATTGCTTCAATAGGCGTGAGTATCCGGGTCATTCATAACTTTTTTATTTCCAACTCTATTTGTATCTTTCTCGTTTTGATTCAGGCGTTGATTGGTTATTTCCCAAGAACAGAAGTCAGAATGATTCTTCAACATTAACACAAGGATCGCATTGTTATAGTTATGTTGTCTCATGTATAATTGTCTTATTACATTTTTGTATCAATAGTTGGTGGGAAAACTACAAGATCATCGGTAAGACAAATTTATAGTTTAAAATAAAAAAAAATAATTAATTATTTTTTACGGCGATCGTCTAGATTACAAACTGATACAAACAATATATTCAATGGGAAGTCTGTTCATTCACGACATTATAAAGAAGCATTATGACCCAAAAGTTCTCAGTTTGGGTGGTTTTCCGGTGAAAAATCGTTTGCAAGTTATTTACGATTGGATTGTTTATTCGAATGCATTTGACCTGACATCCATTTCAGAAAACGCCATCAAATCAGTGAATTTACGTCAAATTCAACAAATGAACGAACCACAAATGCCAGAAAAATCATATACGCACGATCAAATGGATTCGATTCTTGTTGAGTCATTTGATAACTTTTTAATATGAAGCAAAGCGTTAATTTTGTGTTTTTTTTTTTTTTTTTTTTTTTTGAAATTGTAATGAAATTGTAAAACTACTAAATCGACACACTCTTTATAATGAATAAAAAAAAATTTGAATATGCTTAAAAATACGGTAACAATTATGATTTTTATTTATCATATTTCCATAGGTTTTTTTATTTTTGGTGCCAGCCATAACAGATGAGAAAAAATGAAAATGATATTAAATTCGTCGTATTGAGAAAAAAAATTGCGAAAAAAGGTGATCAAGCTCGAGTTTCGGTAGACTTTTCTATTTTATGTTATCGAAATTAGATTTATTAAATACGATTATGCTGAAAGCATTCACGTGAATGTTATTTCTACCGAGACTCTGGATCACCTTCGATATATATGCAATTCAAAGTCAAAATATACTAAAATCTGGAAATTCGTTGACCAATGAATTATAAAGCCGTTGCAATGAATGACAGATGTGTTCTGCTGAACACAAATACATGGGCATTTGCGTTTTCACATCTCGAGTGTTGAAAGGAGAAAGATTTTGTTTATAGTTGGTAAGTCTCGTACTCCTTCAACAGAGCAGAAATATTGTTCTATCTTCTTCTGTGTCTTTATCATACTTCATTTTTTTGGAAGATTTTTTTTGTAATTACTTTCTTGATCATTTTGAAATTTCACCATTGCTTTTAACGTTCGAATTTGATTTTGTGCATAATCGATGACAGTGCTTGAGTGAAACATACAAACTATATGCAAACCCTTTCCCAGTTCGACTCACAGTTGAGAGTTACAAATACAGTTACACAATTTTTCGTTTATTGGCTTGAAGATCTTATGTGTAATGAGCTGACATTAGTTTGGAGTGGACACAGAGTAGCATAGATCTATTGTCTTTGAATCTTTTGTATGACTGTCCTTTTCATTCTTGTTAGGAATATTGAGTTGGTTCAATTTTTCATATTGACGCGTTATAATTCACTAGGCAACGAATTTCCAGGTTTAAGTATATTTTGATTTCGCATCGTATATATATTTGAGGAGTGGCCCAGAGTTTCGTAGATATTGTGATACTTGTTTCGCTTTAGACAGCGTTTTAATATCCGGAATTATAGATGCTCTTGGCAAAAAATCAAAAACTCTATGAAACACGAGTATGGCCACTCTTTTTTATTTACAAAGGATAACATTGTCATAAATACAAATTCGAGTGTAAGGTATTCATTTTAACTAGTTAAAATATTCTTCTTTATGCAATAAAACATCAATTATTAATTTTCGTTTCAATAATTTTCCGAGTCTCATTCACATTTATTTATTCTTACCAATAGACAGAGATGTCAGCGAAAAACATCTAACCATTTGCCATTTGACTTATAAAATAAAACTCAAACCAGATTTGTCTACAAAATGCAGATTTTGGATAAAATAATAAAAAAACGAATGAAATAAAAAAAAATGTCGATGGAAATTCACAAAAAAAAAGAATCGCATATAAACACTGAAACGTTGTGAAGGATTCCAAAATCGGAAATATTTCCGAGAATAACATTAAATATATAGCAAAAACATGGCTTTAATCCTGTTGCGGCGAAAATTAATCTTGATTAAAAAACATATGTTTTTAATTATGAGACATATAAAATTGGTTTGCATGAATGCAGTGAGCACACTTACACCATCCGAATATTTTGTTTCATTTTTAGATCGTCAATTTGATTAAGATCGTTAGCATTTGTAAAACAGTTGGTATTGTGTGTGGTCGTTTGTCACCAAAAACAAAATGATAAGCGGCGACACATTGCAAACGTAAACCAAAAGAGAAAAACGAAACAAATATGAAAAGTGAAGCACTTCCAAATCATCTTTTGTCATTCATAAACAGTACAAACAGAATATGAGTGATTCCCACCGGATCGAATCTGTTAATCCACACATCGACACAGGAATATAATGTATGGCTGTGTACGATATGAATGTGGGACGAGGGGAAAATGTGTTTAAAAATATCTTTTTTTAATTAGACATCAAAATATGTGATGTGTGTGCTCAGAATGTTGATGTTAAATGCCATAGCGAAAGTCAATATACATATAACTATACATATGACAGGCGAAACATTTATTTAAAAAAAAAACAACGAAGAAGTCAAAATGATGAAGATTCACAGACTGTTGTTTAGTTTTTCGTGCTGTTGTTCGGAGAAATTTGTCATTTCCCGCCTTTATCCACTGTGCGCGCACTCCACAACCGATTTTATTTTTACTGACAACAAAAGACAGAGAACACGCACACTCAAAATGACAAACCGAACGAATATGAAGATGAGCAAGTGATTTACGCTCTTTCGCTCGACACAATCATTTGAATTCGGTTAATTTGAAAATAAATATATAGATTTTATTTTCATTCTTCATTTATAAAAATAGGAACAAAATGGAAATTATCGCAACGTATGGGTATGTGTGTATGCGACCATTCATGTATGCCGCCGCCGCCGCCACAACTTTTACAGAATCGGTAGCACGGTATGGGCATTCGGCATTCAGTTATATGCTAGATTCGGTTGTGAAAAGATGTGTAACGTGCGTAAGAAGTGAATTTTCTTTATTCACAGCAAATTCAATTTTTAAAATTCATTTTATGGATTTTCTTTAGTTTTGTGACATTTTATTTTTCCTTTCAAATTTGGAAGAAAAATTTTGTTTGTGGAAAAATCCTTGGTAATCGGTAACAAAATTAAATAGAAATATAAAATAAGTGAAATTTTTTTATTCTAAGAATTCATAATTCTGAAAGAGACAAAAATGACATTTGGTCGTTTGATTTTCCAAAGTGTTGTTGTGCTTTTGGCACTAGCTCAGCTAAGTCGATCGTTAGAAGTGAGTGATTTTTACGATTTTGAAAGAAGCGTTCGCCTTGAGAATGGCGCTGGTAAATCCGAATTCGTCAAATTGGACACACCAATAAATTTCTTCAGTGATATTTACGATCACATTTATGTAAGTATTTTAAATGGTTGAAATAGCTCTTCTCCACTTTCTTTTGCTCTCACTCTATCTGTCGAGTGAACAAAAAATGCTCATAAATATTTCTCTTAAAGACTTTAAAACGGAAAATGAGACAGACTATGCAGAAAATGAAAATATTCACTTAACGATTAAGCAATAAAGTCTTTATATGAGTATTCTTCGCATATTTGCGATCGACATCGAATTTTATTCTTTCTCTAATTTTACTTTAAACGAATAACGAAAAATAAATTTTTATTGAAAGATCATTCAAGAGTTTATGTGTGTCTATAGAGAGTTTCAATAATCATCATTATTGTTACGAAAGATTGTGAGGAAATATCAATAAAATGTGAATTTAGATCCCGTTTGAATGGTAGCTCCTTTAAAAATCCATATAATTAAATTTAAAATGACGATGTGTGGCTTGGGATGAACAATACACGATTCGATGCGGTCAATGAATTTGCCGTTATATTTTATAAGTAGATTGCATGTATATATTTGATTAATTAATGAATCAATAGCTAAATAATAAACAATTCATGCAGGCTGCTATTTCCCCCATATCAACAACATTCTCAATTGGCATGCATTATCTAACTGCATTTCTCCAGTTTCCTAATCACAAATTGTGTGTAGTTTGTAACAATTATTTACTATCAATATACATAGCTGATTACAGCAATGAATATCAACGAATAATATATACATATACAATGCTCTACGCTATCGCTGAAATGAATTTGCAAATCACTGAATTGAACTGATAATTGCAAAAGATTGAAAACATATTTAAAATGCAAACACTTTCGAAATTCGATGAACTTTGACACAACGTTCCTATTGTTTATTCGACGAAACGAATCTCACGTCATCGAAATACTTTATATTGAGAATAAACAATTGGTCTAAATATAACAAACAATCGCCTGATAAACATTTCTATTTATTTCTAGATCAATACACAAGGGATTTTAACATTCGGCACCGAATTAAATGGTTTTTTAAATGAACCATTTCCATTAGAGTATGCGGCGATTGCTCCATTTTATTCAAATGTTGACACGGCTGGCGCTGGACAAGACACATCGATTTCATTCTCGAAAATAACAAGCGAACGAAACACACGTCTTGCCTACGAAACTGTGCGTCGTAATTTTGCCGTGAGCGACAATTTTCGCGTTGTCAGTGTACTTGTTGCCACTTGGGAAAATGTTGGACATTATCGCGAAAATAATACAGAACAAAATACATTTCAAGTAAGTCGCTTTTAATTGTATACATTTAAATGCCATTTTATTTTTAGTTTTGGAAATTAACAATTTAAATTTAACAAAAAGGTTGCGATCATTTGCGGCGATCAAGATACATTCGTTGAATTTTTGTATCCAAGCAATGGTTTAAATTGGTTGCAAGGTGACCAAGGCGGCGAATCTGGTTTACCTGATATTCGTGCACAAGTTGGTTTCATTGCCGAAGATGGACGATTTTTCACTGTTGTCGGCTCCGGCACGGATAATGTGAGTTGAAAATTGGTTTTCTTTTGCTTCAATGAATTTATAAACGAAAAATCAACAAAACTTAGGCAAAATATTTGAGTGAATTATCAAACCATGGACGACCTGGATCATGGATTTTTCGCGTTGGTCATATTGGTTTTGAAAAAAACATCGAACAACCGGATCAATCACGATTCTTCCAACAAGAAGCACAACATCCACGATCGTGCGCAAGTGGTGGCAAATTAAAATGTCACATTTCAGCCATTTGCCGTGACACCCGATTGAGTTTCGACTGTCAATGTAAACATGGATTCTATGGAAATGGATTCAATTGCATTAAAAATGATGTGCCGTTGCGTGTGGCTGGTCAAATTACCGGAAAAATTAATAATACACCGCTTAAGGCACAACTTCAATCATATGTCGTATTGAGCGATGGACGTACATACACTGCAATCAGCCCATTGGACAATAGTATCGGACAAAGCAGTCAATTGTTGTGGGCTTTTGGCTATGGAATCGGTTGGCTTTTTGCAAAACCATTGGCAAATGATAATGCACCAAATGGATATCAGGTAAATGAAAAGAAAAATCTAGTTTTTCTTCGAAATCCGGAAAACTAAACTTTTTTCATAAATAAAAAAAAGCTCACAGGCGGAAACCTCAATCACACAACCACGATTCGGTTTACAAACGCCGATGGATCAAATAATGAATTATTGATTGTAGAACGATTCACTGGTTTGAATGTTTGGGATCAATTGGCCGTTGAAATTGAAGTCAATGGTAATTTACCCGAAATCGCGTCAAACGCAGTCGTTGCATTGCCAGATACAAGCGATAATTACCAATTTTTGAAGGAAAACCAAATTCAATCGGCTGGTAGTGGAGAAATTACAGTCAATGATCAAACAATCAATTACACTGTCAATCAAGTGGTAAGTTGACTTGTTTCCTTAAAATTCTATATCTTTATCAAAATTATATATTTGCACATCTAACGTACGTATTTATGTTCTGAAAAAAAAAAACAAGATCGATTTTGAAACGTTCAGAGAGCAATCCGGCGAACCTCTGAATACACTAAACACACAACCATTCTTCAATAAAGTGTCCAAGATTACTGCCCAGTATCAAGATAGAGAAGCCGCACTTCGCATTGGTATGATCAATAAAGTGGTACGTAATTCAGAAGTGAATCCATGCACCGATGGAACCGCAACATGCAACCATGAAAACTCCGTATGCGTTCCAGACAAACCAAACGACAGTTACTTGTGCGAATGTAAAAATGGATTCTATTATGATGATGCAATAATTGCGTGTGTCGATATTGATGAATGTGCCACAAATGAAAATATTTGCGATCAAAATGCCGTATGTTTCAATGACTTAGGTGGCTACAGTTGTCGTTGTCAGGATGGCTTCTTTGGCAATGGATACACATGTTATGAACAAGTCACACAGGAAATAACTGAAGAACCAATTCAAAGCGCTTCAACGGCCTATCCAACACCAAACATTCCCGGTTTAGCTCCAGAGCACTGGCTTTGCGATCAATGTTCCGAACATGCTGATTGTATCCGAGGCGTTTGCGTCTGCAAAAATGGATGGAATGGCAATGGCGTTGAATGCGTTTATAATTGTCGTGACGATTCAGTTTGGAATATCGATCGATGTGAACTAATCAATGTAAACTCCGAAGAAGAAGAAGGTAGGTTTTTCATGTCGATCGGAGAAGTAGGCTTTTTCTTATCGTTATTTTCGTTTTCGTTTTCAGCTGAAATAGCTCCGTTTTGTGATGCACACACAGGATGCACTTGCGCAACTGGCTACGAATTGATTGAAACCATCGCTCAAAAGATATGCCGTTTAATTGAAAAAGAAGAAACCTCTACAGAGGACGAAGAAGATAAATGTATGTACTAAAAAAATGCTCAAAAATCCAATTCGAAATGTTGAAATGAATTCTTTTGTTCAGTGCCATGTGATGCAGAAAGTAATTGCCATGAAAACGCTGAATGCAATTGGATCGAGAGCGAATTACGCAACAAATGCGTTTGTAAACCAGGCTACGAAGGCGATGGATATGAATGTGTTGAACGTGAAATTTCGTGCTTATTTGTAGGTTAAATTGATTAATTTCAGAAATAATTACAACTAATTACCGTATATTTAAATGCAGGAAAATATTTGTGATGTAAATGCACAATGTGTGTACGATGAAATTGTCGGAAAGTCGGTGTGCAAATGTAATAAAAAATACGATGGTGATGGAAAATCATGCCAATTAGTACCAGAATGCGCTGTATCCGAAGAATGCACAGAAAATTCGTATTGTTCGAATGGAGTTTGTGTTTGTAACGAGGGCTATGAACGAGATGTCGCAACCGATGTGTATGTAACATTTGAGTGTGAAAAACTCAATTCATTTTTGTTCAATACATTTAATATTCACTTTTGTATTTCCTTTCGATTAAAGTTGTGTACTAAGCGGTTACTGTGGTGGAACTTTCTGTGCCAAGAACGCCGTTTGTTTACTTGACAATATTCAAGGCGTTCAATATTGTTCATGCCCAGAAGGATTCGTTGGCGACGGTTTGACAAGCTGTAAATCCGTTCCACCGCCATGCAACCGTAAGAATAACTGTGGACTGAACGCTCAATGTATCCAGAACGAAAATGGTGCATACGAATGTGCTTGTAATCAAGGATTCTATGGTGACGGTTTCATTTGTATACTTGAAATTAATTGCGCAAATACTCCATCGTTGTGCCATGAAAAAGGCCGTTGTGTGTCCACCAAATCGGGATACCAATGTGTTTGCAATGCAGGTACTTGATTGATTTTTGATATGGGAAGGACGTGAATAAAATCCAATTTTATTACAAAGGTTACATCGGAAATGGTACTTATTGTATTGAGCCAATTCGTCAAGAATCGGCATTTTTATTGCTGAGCCAAGGAGTTGCAATTGTAAAAATTCCATCGGACGGTAATCGTGTCTTCCCAATTGCTATGTCAGGCGTAAGAGAGCAACTGTTTTTTTTTTGAAGATACTGGGAATCAGTAATATATTTAAATTTCGATTACAGATGGCCATCGGTATTGATAAGGACTGTTCAACTGGACGCGCCTATTGGAGTGATATCAGCTCAAAACAAATATTTAGTTCGAGATACGATGGTTCAGATAAAAAGTCATTTATCAGTGAAGGTAATGAAGAATTCGGTTTGCATTTGTCAGTGGTCGGTGAGAGACGAACTAAATTCAAATGCCTTTTCAGATGTTGTATCACCCGAGGGAATTGCTATTGATTGGATTTCTAGACGTATTTACTGGACTGACTCGTCGAAGGATACAATTGAAGTGGCTTCATTAGATGATCCCAAACAAAGATCGGTTGTTGTCAAAGGAAATCTCGTGAATCCGCGAGGCATTGCTGTTGATCCCCATCAAAAGTATGACTTATTTTTATGCATTTGAAAAGTTTTTTTTCTCTACTTACCATACTCTTCTCTCTATCTATTTCAATCTCTCTGCGTCTATTTCTCTCTTTGTCTCTCATAGCAAACTCTATTGGTCTGATTGGGATCGTGAACATCCGAAAATCGAACAATCAGATTTAGATGGAACAAATCGCGTAATTTTATTGGAGGCACCAAAAGTGGTTCTTCCAAATTCGTTGTCGATTTCAAGTCGTACCGGTGAATTATGTTATGCCGATGCGGGTACACAGAAGATTGAGTGCATTGAACCATATCATCGCTCATTACGAACGATTGCCACTAATTTGCAATATCCATTCGGTCTCACCGTAACCGCTGACCGTTTCTACTGGACAGATTGGACAACGTATGTGCTTCAATGCAAATAATTTGTAATTAAAAAGTATTTGTCATTTCGTTGATTTTAAATTTGCAGGAAGAAAATCGAAAGCAGTGATGAGCATGGTAGTCGTTATAGTGGCATTGTAAATCCACTGTTTGGAAATCACAAGATGTACGGAGTGGCAGCTGTAACAAGCGATTGTCCATTGTTCTTCAGTCAATGTCAAATTAACAACGGCGATTGCCCATCGGACAGTATTTGTTTGATAAATCCAAATGCTCCAAATGGACGATTCTGTAAACCAATCAGCACTCAATAGAGATGCTCTCTTTTATCCGACTTCAGTCATACATACATACACACTTTTAATACTTTATCTATATTGAACACATAATTTGATCCGAAAAAAAATCAAGTCAATAAATGCAATAAAAGAACAAAAAAAATAGATGAAGAATAAATAGGTTTTGTTTACAGACAATATTTATTTTAAGATTGCTTACATTTAAGAAATTGGCTAAATGAAATATTCATTCAAAAAGTTATTTGTATTTATCATTTATTCGGAGCTGAAGTGCCAGTCTTGAAATTTGTCTCAAACCGATCCATCCGGCATCACAATCACAAAGTACATTTTTTTTAAGTTTCGTTTTTTTTTTGTATAACATTGAAAATATTAACGTCTGAAATCCCAATTGAGTTCTATCTATTTCAATACGTTTCAATAATATATAATTAACAATATTCTAATGAATAATTTTTTTTCTGGTTGTTGTTATTATCAAAGTGCTGAATATGCTTGATCACAAACAGTATAGAGTAAAAAGATCTTATGCGTGTAGAGTGGCTTTTTTTGCTTCAAACACCTGAGGTGAGATTCATTAGGTCGTTTTCATTCTCAGCCATACACACAACATATATATAAATTCTTAATTGAAATTTTCAAAGCTCGATTGTGTTGAAGTAAGACACTTATTTCCAATTGAATTTGCCTCAATATATATCTTGTAATAAAGACTTGATTGCACCGATTAAAATGTGATTTCAAAATTGAAATCTTTTGAAATTTTTTTTGGACAAATAGATAGATTTTTTTTTTTTGCATTTAATATGCCGCTAAAAACTGTTTTTGTTTTAAACTTTGATTTTAATTTTTTTAAATAATAATATTATATTTTGTACCTTGTGGTATAAACATGTTTTGTAGATTTCGTTGTCATGTAATTCTTCGTATGGGCCATAAAATATCAGCTCACATCTTTTATATATGCCATATATATATATGTGTTTTATGATTGGTTTCGAATAAAAAGTCGGCTTGTATTTTAAGTGGATAAAAGTACCGCTTTTACGGGCTCAAAATACAAATCGTGTTTTTATTCTGGACCATTTATGTATGTATTGTGCATGATAAATTTGTAGTAATGATGTAAAATTGAGAAGACACTTTTAAGCCCATTTGTATTTTGTAATGCATTTTGTATGAGTAATGGACCAAATATTTGTTCTGCGTTGGTGTGTCTTCGTTCTTTCAAATGAGTGAGATTCATTAGAATAATTTGAATCAGTGTCATAATGAGAACAAGCACTTATAACATTTTAAATGACATCTATCAAATATAATTAAATTGCAACAAATAAAAGAGAAGAAAAAAAAAACAGTCACAATCGAACAAATTTATATGTCCTCGCCATTTTCAGCTATTCGATCATGGATAATTTGTAAAAGTTGCGTGAAATTGGGCCGTTCCTTTGGATTGCTGCACCAACATTCCAACAATAACGATTCGTATATGTGCTCTGGACAAAGATTCGGTCTCGCCAATCTGAATTGAACCAAAAAATACGATTAATTCCGTGTAAAAGGTGGCGAAAGAAAAGTTTGAAATATCACTTACCGTTCTCCATTCTCAAGTCTAGTCAATAACTCTTCTGCTTGGAGATCTTTTCCAGGTACTAAAATATTGGAAAATAAATGTTAAAATTATGTTGATTCTTTTTGGCATATTTAAAGATTTCTTACCTAAATTGGGCTCTTGGCCACGTGAGAACATCTCAAATAGTGTTACACCATACGACCATACATCCGATGAATATGAATATTTGTTGCTTTTTAGCACCTCGGGCGCATACCTGCAAAAAAATTCAAATTCAATGTTAACCGAGAATAAAAAAACCACTGTCTTCACATGTGAGTGTAAAAATTGCAGTCTCTCTGTTTTTTACTTACCATTTAATGGGTATTGCTCGTTCGCTTTGGGCAAAATAATATCCATTTGAGTCGGCCACTTGTGCCAATCCAAAATCGGATATTTTCACACATTCATCGCTGTCAACGAGAATATTTCTGGCCGCCAGATCACGATGTACAATCTTTTTGCTAACTAAATACTCCATGCCGTTTGCAATGTCTTTGGCAAATTTGAGCAGTCGTTGTGTGGTCAACAACGGACTTTGTGAACTCAAATACATCAAGAATGAACGATGTCTTACATATTCCATGACAATTAAAATTTGTGGATTGTCAATCCATGTGATAATTTTTACAATATTTGGATGCTTTAAGTTTTGCATGATTTTAATTTCACGTTCAAAATCACGCAGAACATTCGTTTCTGGTATGGATTTCAAACGTTTTATCGCCACCTGTGTGACCGATTCGTCATTCAATTCATTTTCATACTGTCCACGATACACACTGCCATAATGACCATCACCGATTTTCCCTTGATAGATTAACTTTCCACCATCGTCCAATTCGATAATCGATTGCGAATAGTCATGCATTGGACATTCGGATATGATTGTTCGTTCCGATTGTGAGTCTGATATTAACGGTGTGATGTCATTCGCATAACCATTCGAGCCATCACTTATTGTTTCAATCGATGAACCCGATGACAGCGTACTTATTCGATCCGGAGATTCAGTTCCATTTGATGTGCATATATGAGTCTCTTCTGCAAATTTCCAAAAGAAATACCAAAATTAATTGAAATGACTTCATATAAAGAGTAGTATGTGATTTGGTCTTACCAGTTTTTGTTGAATTTATGCTTCCCATAGTCGAATGATTATCGTCTCGAATGAATGGATGTAATGTTTGGTATCTATGCAAATTTTGTTTCTCACCTACATCGTAATGAAGAAATTTGATCAATCAAAAGTTCGTATACTACAAAAAAAAACTATACTTACGTGCAATGATTAATTTAGAGAAAACGGCTTGCGGTGAGAATCGTTTGTCGGGACTTTCGTGCCAACCCTCTCTCATGATATCGTACATATCATCGGGACAATCACGTGGTCTTTGCAGTCGTCGTTTAGATGCATAAAATTCTCTTAATGTTGGTGCTCGACCATGTGAAAATATTTCCCATAATGTTGTTGCATATGCCCATATCTCAGCTGAAAAATCCAACTTGGATTGCTCCATATTTTGATGATACTCGAAGGGAATCCAAGGCAAACTAAAACCAAACAAAAAGCACATGTTTCAATACAGTTTCCAATTTGTCTTAAATTACGTTTTTTCTTACTCGTCAGTTGTGTAGGATTTTCGAAACCCTGGATCGCCCAAACGTACAACTAAAGTGTCTTCATCGTAGCGTGCAACGTGCAGCGATGCACACCGAATTCGCCCATGTATAATATTATTTTCTTGTAAATAATGAAGTGCTCTCGCCAACGTCAAAGATGCTTCGATTAAATTCTTCACTGAAACCTGTAGGTGTGGTCTTTGCAAAAATTCGTCGAGAGATCCTAGACGCGTCGACTCCATCACAAGTGTATGTGGTGACGTCAATGTAAACCCATACATTTTCAGCAACTCCGGTGAGAATAAATTGCCCCACTTTTCCGCCAAACGTAAAAACTCCTTTCGAATTAAATAGAAGGAAAAGCACGCAATTTAATTTAATACGAAATAAGAAAAATATTTGCTATAACATCCACTTACCGTCAAGTGTCTCTCAGAATTCAGTACTTTCAATGTAACGTCCAATTTTTTATCTTCGGGCAAGATCCATTCAGCTCGCATTTGTGTAATTATGCCATTTTCAATTACTTTTTGTGAATCTGAATTGGATGCGGAGAGAAAATGTGTGTGAGTGTGTATGTTGAAATGTAACCATTTCATCATATTTAAATTTATGTAAAATTCTTACTTTGATATTTTCGAAAGTCTTTAACCGGATGGAATAATTGTGCCCGCTTTTTACGTAGCTCATTTTCACTGTGCTCGTTGATCGATTGCTTTGCCGTCACTTGGAATGGTGGCGAACACAGAAGCAGAGATGTTGATTTGTCTGAAAATATTCAAATTTATCGAATTTATTTTTGTCTGTTGAAATAAACTTCGGAAATGATTATGGCATTGATAATGAGAACTACTTACCATATTCAGAGGGTGCTAGCCGCAATTTTTGTTTCGATTGAGTTTTTAAACTTTTTGCTAATTCAGTGAGATTGTTAAATGCCTTGATTGTGCCTTCGTGCGAATGTAAATGCCACATGTCATACTTTTGCGTTATTTTACATGTTTCAATGTGATTTCTATTAAAGATATATTCATAATTGAAATGAATTAATTTAAAGTGCAATGACGTTCAAATTGTACGTATTTGAATGGCTTGACGCCAATAATTCTGTAAAACGTGCCACAACAGAAACTTTAAAAAAATAGATACGTATCATAGATGATGACGCAAATTTTTTTAGAGGGGGGTGATGGCAAAATTCTGTAGGCAGTCCATGGAAAAATCCATGGGGGTCCCTGACGATGTCGAAAATTTGTAGGAAATGAGGATAAAATCGTTTTTTTTTGCTCTTCACTTTTTTGGCGAAAATCCCTAGCAAATCGAAAGAATTTTCTCGGTCGAAAAAAGTGAAAAGCAAAAAAAGGTCCTCATTTCAAAATCTGTTCAGGGTTCCTAAAAGTATTTTAAGGGGGGGGGTAATCCGAACCCTAGGAACCCTCGTCATCACCTATGGATACGTATTGGCCTCTAAAGAGTATTAGAGAGTGAGTTTATTCAATTCCTCGAAGGATTTGAATATAAGCATATAATGAACTTGAAGCACTTAGCTGAGATTACACTTTTTTTGTAGCGTAAACACAGAATGTATTAAATGTATATATATATGAACATATTTTGGATACCATTTGGCAATTTGTCAATTGTAAAACAGATCAATTTATATGGATTGTATGCATACACAGTTTTATTTACACAAAATCCATATGAAGCGGATTGTTTTCACAATGCATATTCTCCAAAATATACACATTTATAGACACAGCACAGAAAATCATAATATTTTAATAATAATATGTCGGTGAGTATATAAGTGTAATTAAACTTACGGTTTAACAACGATGTCAATGTAATAATTCTCATAAATCTTTTCACATTGTCGAATAATGTACGATCCAGACGAACATTGTCGATTCTGAAGTTTTGTGTATGAATATTCACCGCCGATTGGGCCGTGACATTTTAAGTCTTTTAACGTTTGCAATGTTGGCGAATAAAGTTCCCGACACAGATCCACTGTCCATTTCACCATCAATCTGTAATGATAATTGATATTGATTATAACGAGGAATAATAAATTGGTATCATGTTGACTTTGACGACTGGAACTCAAAATGTTGAAAAAATATAATTACCTATAGTATGTGGCAAGACAGCTAACAAAAGATTCTCGATTTTGTTGATCATTGATGAGAATAGAAAATCCAGCTGGACAGTCTCGTATCTCAAGCTTAACCACTTGTCGATCGATGATTATTGCAAAAATATCATCAATTTTGGCAACATGCCTCCAAATCTTTTTATACGGATAATAAACACTTAGTCCAGGCCGTTCGCAATGAAATGGTGAAAATTCCACATCAACGGTACATGTTCCGCCAACAAAGTTATCTTCAGGTAAATATGGCACTATTCCAGAGAACTTCTCCATTAGATAATGTGGAACTAGGGTGTTTATCGATTCCAGATACGTACTCTTGACATAGCTAAAGTGAGACACGAAAAATTAATTTAAAATTTGCCACACTCAAACTAGAGATGAGAAGAAGATAAAAACAAATCAGTAATACTCACTAAGAGTCGTGATCCATATTTTTAATGTTTCTCAATTCCTTTGAGATGGTTTGTTTGATGAATAGTCTATGTTTGACGATGTGTTTTTTAGGTAAGTAATTTTCATAATGTTTTTCGAGTTCATCCACCGATAGTCCATGTTCCAGCATTTCAATGTACATACTCGTAACGGCCAAACCGACCACTTTTTCTTTGTGCTTTGGATATTTCAATTCGGGTATTGAATCGTTGATCAGATCATATTTAACTTGATGAAAGAAATAGTTGTACGCAATTTTGTCCATTTTTTTAAACTCTGACAATTTTGGCACTTGATGTCGCAGTCGAAATTCATACTTTTCATTTGCCTGTACGGTACGACATCCGGGCAAAAAATTCGTTGTGCCTTTAATGCGTAGCGAAAATAGAAGATTTGATATCGGTTTGATCCCCAGATCTCTGCACAATTCACGGCAAACCGCTTCACATGTATCGTCCACACCAAATGTTATTTCTCTGTATTCTTTGCTTGTGTAAAGCAACACGGAAAATGTTTGTAATGTCATTTTTGTGCTTGTATTTTTGTTGTTTTTTATCGCGCGATTTTTTATCGTTTCCAACGATAACGACAGCGACGTTGTGTGGGCAAAAATAGCACCCAGTTTGTCTTGAAAAAATTACTATTCGACTATTTTTATGCAGCACGTTACCACAGATGATAACAGCAGAGCTTCTAAATGTTGTGATGTTGTCTCATTGAGATGTGAACAGAAACAGAAGAAATGCAACCAACAAACACGTTCATCTAGTATGTTAAGAAGGGAGAGAAAAGGGTTCTTTTAATATATTCCAGGTTAAAAAAAAAATTCTTGATGAATATTAACATAATATCTTTACGGCAATCATAGAGGCTTAATTACTTTCGTCGAAATAAGTAAATGCTTGAAATAACAGTGAGCGACGACTAACATTTTACACCTCCACTATGCGGATAATCCATGGTATTTTTTTAATACTATTGATTACACATATAAATTGCAATTTTTAATTGTTATATTGTAGCTGTTATGATGATAAAGGCGCACAAGTGAAAAAAAAATAATAATATACGCAATTAGAATAAACTCCTCTACCAAGCCCAACGATTATTGTATATATTGTAAATTTTATCCATGGATTTAATGAGTTTTACCAACAATCATTTAAACAATATTATAACAAAATAATTTCCACATTTCAAAAATAATTTCCAGGAATGAAAAACGAGAGAAAATCATTCGTCCGCATAACAAAATTTTCAGTCATTACATTTTGAATAAGTAATACAATGAATCTACTTCTAATTGGCGATACTTGGAATGGATTACAAATATAAAGTGAGAACAGGGAAAACTTGTTGAATTTTTGATGACTTGTTAAGTACCTCAATGAAATGGTAAAATTGATATCGAAAAAAAAGGCTCGCTTTATAAGTAATTTTTTTTCATGCAAACAACGACTCCAGTATTAACTGACATTAAAATAAAAACATTTGTTTTGAACATCGCACGAGAGCACTTTTTTCTTCTTCATTATTTATTTTGGTATTCAATTGATTTTTTGTCATGTTCAGAATATTTTATTTCGGCATATGTCGAATATCGTCGAAAATGTTTAAAATTCACTAAAAATACCACATTTGAATATGATGAAAAATGCATCAATTTTACCTCGGTTCATTAAAGTTGCATTTTTCCGATGTTTTCGTTTGGTTTTTTTTTTTTTTATATATACAACAACAACTGCGACGTGAGCGTTTCAATTGAACGCCACACAAAATTCTTTGGAAACACGATTTCGTATTTACAACACTTATAAACCGTCCTTTGTATTTACACTGCGCCGAAACTCACGATATTTAATTTTTGTTAAATGATTCTACACTTTAATTGTCGACGCTGAGGTTTGTGTCAAAATACGTTTTTAGATGAAAATAAATCGTCCATCTTTTATTTGATGTGTTATCGCAAGACTCTTTTTTTACATTTTCCTTCTATCTTTTTTTTTCTACTCTCGTTATGTGTACGAGGCAAGACGTAAGTATAATAAGTGCGAGAGTTGTATGTCTCTTGGGCACTGAATGAATGTAGCTATTTAGTGTCAACATTCACATACAGCATACATACACACATACGCTTTGCAGCAACAGCTTTGTTTGCTTTTAGATATAGATGTATCGTTGGTGTTCGGCATTCTTCGGAATAATGTGTGCGTGCGACCATACACAACTGACATTTTGTTGTAGGTGTGTGCGGGTGGGTATGTATTTGGTTCATTTGTGTTGTATTAAAGACATGCTGACATTCAGCACATTGGTACGACCAAATGCGAAATACATTGAAAACAATGGTAATTGAAAATAATAAACATTTCTTAATTTGCATGTATATGAAAGTACAGTTTTTTTTATTGTTATATTCATAAACTTTTCTTCGAAGCGCTTCGAAGTGATTTATTTTTATTTTAATTGTATCAAACAATGGATACAGTTTTTTCTTGTCATGCAAACTAGAGCTGGATATGAGCACAAATTGATGGTAAATCATTTGAAATTAACTTTATCTCTCGGCACAACACATTTCTGAATTCAAAAAGCGAACGTTCTTGCTTCTCGTGGTCGTATTTCTGAGAAAGGTAAATTGTTTTAGAATGTTTGACCTTCGGCTAGATATCGAAAGTAAAATGCTTACGTGATTGTAGATGATTGTAGGGACAAATGCTAATAGTTCACGTGGTGCAGCTAATTGTTTGGTTTTTCTCTCGGCTTCCAATTGCAATTCTGTTCCCAAATCACTTGAATAACAACTGACCACATCATCGTATGGCAATCCAGCCTGTGTCGAACACTAATTTTGATACAATTGACAGAAAATTAATTATTATTAAACGTTTAGCAGAGATTCTATTTCATGTTTGAAACAATTTTACCGCATCACTGCCGTCGGAACCATAACTCATTTGGCATGTAACGAACTCAACTTGCTGAGCTTGGGTTGTTGATGACCGTAGTCCGCACGAGTGAATTTTGTTACCCGAACACTCATCAGGACCATGTTGACATGTGAATCCAACGCCATGACCTTGAGTTAAACTCTGAAATGACCATTATCGTACCATAGAAGACAACAAATTATTTTGAACTATCGTTTTTTTTAAGTTTCAAGTATTTTTGAAATTAAATAAAATCTGTATTCAAATAAAAAAAACTAAATGTTTAAAATAAAAAATGTTTGAAAAAAAAACATTGTTCCTCAAAAAAACTTGTAGGAACTTCATAGTAAATACAAAATGAAGCGAAACGATAAAAACACTGAATAGCTTGTTCACGCAAAAATAAAATAAAAGCCGCTCTGAGTGTACGCACCTTTGATTTGCCGAACGGAACGAATTCAATATCCACATATGGTTCAAAATTACGATAGTTTGGTTCCAATTGATTTTTTATAAAACGTATACTATCGGGGCATAGTGATTCGTAGAATATTGTGACGTGCACCTATAAAAAAAATTCAAAGTCAAAAACATGTATTTTAAAAAAAAGACACACTCAGATTAAAAATGTCACGTCGTTTCACCTTGTATTGTCCGAAAACTTCGGGTGAGAATAAAAATATAGCAAAAACAATTAAAACGTTTTGTTTCATTGCACTGAATAATAAATCAAATGAAAAAAGGTAAAACAAATTGTTGAATGCACTATGTTGATCAGTAAAATTATGTTAAGTTCAACTGGTTCGATTGAAGAAAATCAATTTACTTTTAATGAGTTTCTCTAATGATGTAAATTTTTAACAGAAAAAAAGATCTACAAGAGAATCAGTTGTATGCGCACGAATGAGGTGTAGTTTCACATGCGATTAAAGCATAGTTCGCGTTTCACATTTGTTTATAACAAAAAATACAACATTGAAAATTCATCTCCCACCTTTCGTGTTTCGTTGGCGCTCAAAAACTAGTTTTATGTCTCTCTATAAGCGAAATCAATAACCTTACAGAGAGAGTCTTGTCGAACCGCTTTAGTGAATTATAATTTAAACAATTGGTAATAAACAGGTCATTTACTTGCAGCGTTTTATAAATAATGTGATAAGATCTGATAACATAACAATAAGTGTCAAAAATGCATTTCTGATCATATTTTTCCAGATTTTTGTGTTTTTTTTAACATTCCTCGGTGTTTACCAAGTTTAATGAAATTATCAATAAAAATTATGATCACAACAACAAAAACATTGATGTGCTCGTTAAGCGGTTCTATATGACACATTTTGTTTATTTAATCGATGACGTAAAATCGAATCATTGCAATGGATTTGCGTGTTATGATTTAATCATTTAAACGTTAAAAAGCTTATGATTTACAGCTCCATGATGTTGTTTGTATAAAATAACCTAGAGAGAAGGTCAGGGTTCAATTGAATCATTGCCCATTTCGTTTTTCCTTTTTATTATCATAGTACGTTCCTCTTCCGATCGCCATTTCTTTAATCTAGTTCACATGCATGTTTTTATTCATATGATAACCCCTACGCTACTTATTTATTTAAGAAAATTGCACGATCATCATTACAATTATGATTCATCGTTGGCTCTTCGTTGGTGATACGAACAAGATAATGAATGAAATAAATAGATTGACGATGCCGTATAATTGTTTAGTTTTCAACAAGAACTTTCCGTGCAACAACATTTTGCAACACAAAAACCATGGCACCAATCGCAACATTGAGCTGTAAAGAATCATTTACCATCTCGCACTACCTCAACAGGTTTGTATACGATGAACGCAAGTAATTGAAAGGTGATGTCAATAAATCAAACTGCTTTTTTGTTTGTTCTTAAAGTCCGCACCTGAGTAATACAGCAAATAAAAAGGTCTACGGAGAATGTGCAAACCCAGCGGTACATTCTCATCAATATACAATTGAAGTGATCACTCGTGGCACGGTCGATACAAGCATTGGCACGGTTATGAGTTTATCGGATTTAAAATCACTGCTCCGAACAACCGTTGCCAATCAATTGAACAGAAAAAATCTTGACTATGATATCAACTTTTTTAGAACAGTAGTAAGTAATTATTCACAATATGTAATCAATCTTCATAAAAAAGACATGTTTAATGAAGACAATTATAATTAACAATGTAAAACAACATAGACTACTGAATTAATTCTCCTCTACAGCCGAGCACCATTGAAAACTTGGCAATTTTCATTTGGCAGGCGATGAAACAAGAAATGTCCGAACCAGAACTGCTGTACGAAGTAAAATTGACTGATAACGAAGAAAATTGTGTAATTTACAATGGAAGTGGTGGTCATGTACAACGCAACGGTCAGATGAACCTTACATCAGACACAGATTGAACTATAATTCATCAAAATTTAACATCAAATGATGAAAATGTGTGAAATCTAACACTCTTTAAAAAAAAAAAAAAAATCAAAATGTTTTTGCAAGTCGCTCAACATTTTTTTTACATCTGTAAACCAAATTGACGTCAGGCACGTAACGAAAGTTACACAAAAGCGATGCGATAATAGAAGAAAACGAATAATATGATAAAAGTGTAAACATTTCAATTTTGAATAAATAAATATCCGAAAATATCAACACAAGCCTTTGTTTATCCATTTTTTTTGTCTTCTGTTTAAATGAATCAAAGACTCAGAAGAAAAAGACCCATTCATTGCTAAAAAAAAGTACCCAACCGATAAGAAGTGTTAGATAAAATATTCGTTGCAATTCAAATAATTTTGAGTGCGAGAATATTCCAAATTGGATTATGGTTAAGTATTCAGCTGTACAAGTAGTCTCTGTTGGTGTATTTCCATTGGAAGAAATGTCAAATGTATTTGACATTTGGAATAGTTTCCCGCTCAGTAATTTCGCGGAGCACCAAAACGCATATTTCCAACGAATCAAGCATTTTTAAGGGTTTGTTTTACATTTTCTGCATAGAAATTCTCAAAACTCTCTCTCAGTCAGAGTCTATTGCAAAAATATTGTGAACATTTCAAAATAAATGTAATTTATTACATTTAAAAACGAATTCAATTCAAATGAATATTGTGTACGCTGAATGGCGCTGTCAGTGGCTTGTGTTAAATATGATATGACGTTCAGTGTCGAATCAAAGATGGCATCCATTTGATGTACACTATACTAGCATTAAATAGGATTTATTATTTTTTTGAAATTTTCACAATCTCATTCGAAACGATTTGTATTATTAGTTTTAATTTATTTCAATTAAAGGTAGAGGAGAAAACATCGATTGGTGTGTTTTTTTAGACTTAGACCGATTTCAACTAGCGACAAATAGTTTGGCGTGAAAACAAATTGCAGTAAATAAAAAAACGAAAGAAAGAAAGAAAAGTGCACCGCATTCTGTAAAAGTATCTATTTGCTAACAAGAAGAAATAAATGTATTCGAATTAGACATTGGCGAATATTGGCTATTGCATTTTAGCGTCATGATTGTACAAGAACCCGTGCAGGTAATGTGTAATTCGAAATTAAACCAAATATGTGCATCAATAAATTGCATTTTGTTTTTTGTTATATATAATGCAAAGATTTTCGTAATACGATGTGTCGAAACGAACAAAAGACCATGGCGACAAAATCGATTTTATATGACGAACAAACGAAACAC